ATAAGCATGTACCTATATATCTATATACTTACATATATAGGCTTCGATCAATCTGTTACTTAGTGGACATTATTTTCGGTAAACATAGGTCCGAAACGGTTTCGATCGATGTGCTCAGGGCGATGCAAATTGCGTCGCCTGTTATCGGTGCACTTTATCCGGGGTACTTTTGTGCATATTTTACATATATTTGTGGGGATGCGGCCGATAGCCGGTGTGGGCGGACCCAGCGGCCGCATGCTAATGCACGCGGTAAACGCGCGAGCGCAGATCGGAACTTAGGCAAATTAAACATAAAAATTAAAGCACTGAATTATTCGTACTATCTCACCTGTCTTAGATTTATAAATATGTAAGTCCAAGTTCACAATAAATAAAAATCTAGTTAACATGTATGAAGTACACGTGTAGAAAAATGTGTGAGCATGAATAAAACTTCTGTTTAGTGTATATGAATGCGCTGCCAAGTCATTTTCATATCTAAATATCTTTCGAATAGACATAGATCAAACGCGTAATGCATAGGCACAAAATAAATAGAGGCAATAAAGATGAGTATCGCGTCTCTCGGCCACTAATCTCTGACACCATAACATAATTGTGCAGAGTCCCGGGGGGATAGCGGCCTCGCTGCGGTCACGAAGTGCTCTAAACATAGAGTCTAGCCCTAAACGATGCCACCATATCCGTCGGCGGACAACATCCACTCATAAGTTCGTGTAGCCTCAGCCTCACGGGCTCACGGCCAGCGCCTACTACATAGCTTAGCACCACAGCTTCACATCTACACTACACACTGTATTTTCCAACGGTACTGAAGATTTGTCCAATGTTTTACAGCACAATGTACACTTTACAACGTCTTACAATGTTTAGACTCTTGTGCTACAATACGCAATCTGAGTACATGTTTATTATTTTATATTTTAGTATCCGGAAAATTAATTATTAAAATTAATTTTATTAAGTATCTATCTATTATCTATCTATCTGTATCTATGTAGCGTTTGCACATATTCTAAGCGTGTAAAACAAACAAAGAAAACTTATCAATAATTCGTGTAATACGAAACTCTTTTTTTGAGTACCTACTTAATGCTCGCGCAAATTTCTTGCAAATATGTCAAAATAATACACCCATACTACCGAAGGACGCTTTTAAAAATTGTTATTCAATTTCTTTATAAGTTTGAGCATTTTTTATCGTTAATCTTTTAATAACTCCAAAGATATAAACTAGTTGAGTGAAATTAAATAATCCATATTTATGTACGTGGCAGAATGTCAATAAAAGTCAGTTGGCCAGTAATGAATAGTAAGTATGCTGGTAGATGGGTGCCTGACATTTCAGTTGGCGACGATAATAAGAGCCAATAGCTTTTTTACCGCGAGATAAAGTCGCAGAATATGTTAATATTTTTATTCGCATTTATACTTGTACATCGTTATGATCTAGTTACATTCATTTCCAAGCTGATCGGTATCTTCGACTGTCTAGATTTTATTTTTATTTGCAGCCACCGAGTACCGAACATACTCATACCTACTTTTGTTTTGAGTGACGCATGTACATGAAACAGTTCTGAAGGGAAATTGCATTAAAAAATGAAATGAGGTAATAAAGGGAGTGACGTAAAATTTGGAGGTAAACGACTTGAATGATTGATGTTCGTAAAATTACACTGTTTCAAAAACGTCAGAGTTGTGTGGTCATCCTTCAGACGATAAGGTTCACAATCCCCTGTACACATTTCGTAATTACGTGAAAAATGTTAATCTTACGTTAATAAAGGAAATGATATTGCATTGTAAATGTGTAAGATAGGCCGTAATTTATGGTCCTCAATATATCTACTATATGCAAAATAGCTTTAAACGTACAGTTATCGAGTGCAATTTCAAGTTTCAAACTAAATAGGGAAATCGTAGGAATGTAAACTGGCAGTAGTTTTTCTCCGTACTAGCGTACAAGGCTTGAATTAGACAAATAGCGGTCATTTATCGTTTTCTACACGTAATTTCCATTTCAATAATAATCTATGTAAGTTATAGCGTGGATAAATCAAGTTCATAACCGCCATCGTGCGACCGATGCGTCGGCGTTGCACCAAAAATTACAGAAAACATATAATAAAATAAAATTTACTTGTTATTCGATACGTGCTTTATAATACTAACGAATATTATTTCTATACATAGAAAGAAAAAAATATTGTTAGCTACCTTGCCATGAGAAAGACTAAGAACCAAGTTATAGTTAATGAGTCTGTGACGTCGCTAATAGTCTCAGGCAGAGTGTTGGTATCCTGTCGCTTATAGACTATTGTTGTGTTAAGTTCAACCTGTTCTTACTGTACCTGTCTGGCACCGTCTTCTAATACTCGTCATGAGCAGTGCGCGCGAACGTACCGTATTTTTATCAACAACGGAAACATTCAAGCTCTTAGCACTTATATCCAATGGCGGCATACGTTTTCCTAAATTATGATAATTGCACGTAGTCTTGTTCAATACAGTGATTACAGAACTCGCAGGTGTCACTACATAAGCATCTTAATGATATTTCAACTAAGTATTATGTAAATGATATTACTATTTATTTTCGTAATAGATTCTATCCGATAAGATGTTCGAGTTTTGATATTGTCAATTTTTTACGTCTATTAAGTGCGGGTCATTATTCAACACATACGCTACAAGGAAACATTCAATATTTCTTATTAATCTAGTAGCGAACCGCAATCAATTATCGAAACTTGACTAATCGACGATCCCAATAAACCGACGTACTGTCATTTCTCTTCCCTTAATCGATTACTTCAAACATGAACTCTAGGGGGTCCACTAGAGCTCAGACGAGCTACGCCGCGCCAGCGCCGTACAGAGTACGCGGCCCATCGCCGTCGCGTACCTAACCTTTTTGTCCATAATAAATCTTTTTAGTCTTTTTGTTGTGAAGTATGTAGCGCTTGCCTGTTCAACCGTTCGTTGTTTATGCTCGCTACACGCCACTACCGACACCGGTCAACAGTCATATTTTGCTATCTCATACAATTTAATATACTGTTTGATTTTATAACACTTTACACAGTTTATGTGCGAGCCGCCAGCTGTCAAGTGTGTCGGCCCGCTGAGGGAGCTGCGCCCGTCAATAACACAATTAGATGTACAAACGTTGTCATTTCCGTATTATATTGCCTCTATTCAGAAATTAATAAAGCTGCTGAGAATTTGTATGGTAACAACTATAAAGTTAATGTTTACAATCGGACCGTAGACTCGTTGGTTCTCATACATTTTCATTTCGTGAACAATACATTTTATTAACACGTTCCAATCGATTCCCTTGAGAAGTTTAAATGTGAGATCACACAATCAACGTTAATTGCTGCTTCTCTTACGTGCCCTATCGTAGGCGTCAGGATGCACTATGGAGGCAGGTCGAGACGGTGCCCTCGTCCAGATACAAAGAAAAGATTGAGTCATCATAACAAATGCACAGGCTGTCCTCAGTGGCGCGCCTCGGCGGCCGAGGGCAGGGAACTCTCTACAATCGGCCTCTTCTTATCTGTGACGGCTCCGATCATTGTGTCCCGAATACTTCGTGCTCCACAGTACGAATGACGAAATGCTGCTACGTTTTAGTCTTTTACTTTTCTCTGTCTTCGTTGACTTGTCGAGTTCTTTTCGAACTGTTTTTTGTAAATGTTCAATCGCTACGCTTGTAAAGCTTGCTCTGACTTCATAAATCTTATCTAATTCATCGCATCAAGCGAGAATTAAACACCTTGTACCTTCGTCTTCAGATCACTGAGTAAAAAATAGTAACTATTCGATCTAAAGAAATAATCATTGGTTCAATACTCACCATAACTCAAATAAAAACTGTGTCTATCAAGTATTCATTAATGTTGATCAATAAATACGTAATTATGTTCTGATGTAATCAATCTTTGCGAAATATTCAAACAAAAACTCATCAAAATACACCTTAAAAATGAAGAATGAAAAAATGGGACCCACCGAAAGAGGTAAAAAAAGTTTAAATTACAAAAAAGGAACAAAAACGACTCCATTAATCATATTGATGAATGCACTTAGTATCACAGATACTAACATCGAATGCGATGCATCCTACTCAGAACATTATTTTTGATTTTCTTTCAATTCAACCCTTTCAAGTTGTCCGAAATATTTTAATAATGCCGCATACACTCTCCTGTTACATATTGGAAAATGAAACATCACGTAATGATGTTTCGAATCGCGCAGGTTTGATTGAGGCGACTGTTTAATTAACACGACGATCAGTCATTTCTTGATGTATAATTATTTTCCTTGGAAAGGTTACTGGTAATGGTGATAGGAGTATTTGTTACTGCACGCATCTGGTATTGTGTCATTCGGAAGGTTAGCGCAAAATTGTGGTGTAACTCAATTTTCGCATAGGTCCTAGTCTTGCTAAGATTTGGTTCTGAAATAAAATGGTTATTTATTCACGTTGAAGCATATGAAGCAAAAGAGCTACAGGCGTATTTTGTCAACCCGTCCGGCTGTCGCATCGGGCGAGCATCGCACGGAGGGCGAGACGGGCGGATGGCCGGCGGTCAGCCCAGTCACACATTTGTCGAGCCACTCGCTCGCTGGCTGCATTTTTAGAATTATTAATTTGGTTCGTGTTCTTATACTGTGTTAAAGTGGCCGATTTTGTGCCAACCTCATAAATAAAACATCACCAGACTTCTCTTGCGACTGTTTTATAGGAGTCGACGGTTGCTTAAATACGTTATTATTAAGTTGCATTGTTTTACTTTAAAAGGTATTGTTTTTGTGATACGGCAAATTAAAGACGTCATGATTTCATGGCTTTCCATAATTAATTAATTAATTTAAATTATTATAAGTCACATTCATCGTTGGCATGTCTAATTCCAAAAGCATAATTAAGAAAATAACGTCTAAGGAATGAAAAACTGATTATGATTATTTATTTTTTGCAGGTGGAAGTTGTTATCTTGGACAAGAATGACAGTCCTCCGGAGTTCAAGAACATCCCGGCTGCGTATCTGGCATCTGAGGACATGGCTCCAGGTCAGCGGATAGCGACTATCGCAGCCGAAGACCCGGACACCATCGGTAGCATCACGTACAGCATCCAGAACGACGAACCGACGCCATTTTCCTTGGACTCTCAAACCGGACTATTGACTCTAAAAGATCCTCTGGACAGAGAAACGACTTCTGAGTACCAGGTGATCGTGAGAGCAGACGACGGGGTCCAGTTCACGGACGTAACTGTTGTTGTTCAGGTTTGTTGTTTTTTATACGAGAAACTCGAATTACGTACAGCCGTAATAAAGATACTTAGATCTTGTAACATAAGGTGTACACTCGTTAACAGAAGTACATTCACAGTTTATGTCGATATCTAGAACTTGTTCTGAAATTAATACGTAAATGAAATATACATATTTTAGTCATAAGTACACACAATGACAATACAAAAAAAGAGTCTGGTAGAACTTTGCCTTTCTAAAAGGTTCTTTTTAATTGGTTCTTATAAGAAAGACATATCTAAAAGCTATACACATATGTAGCAAAGCCATTTTCAAAAGAACTACATTAAAAAGAGGATTTTGATAATCACCAGAGCGTACTAATATCTAATTTAAAGTTATGCATTTTCGTATCAGTTTTGTTACCGTGTGTACCTACATGGGTCCAAACATCAGTATGTCGGTCCATTGCCGCGTCGGCTCAAATCAGTGGAGCTCTTATCTAGCGTGGCGTCTACATCCACTTGTCCGTCCGATGGATGACCACCGATTAACTTATCATTCACTCTCTTCCATACTGTTTACGATACCTAACACTTTTCTGCATTTGATTTACGTATTTTTATCCTGACTTAGTATATTCTAATTGCTTTATTTATATAGTAAAATTTCTATGTATAAATGTCGCTTTCAGGTCACAGACACTAACGACAATCCACCAGTTTTCAAAGAAAGTGCCTACTCTTTCGATATTCCCGAAAATGCTGCGAGAGGTTCTGTGGTGGGAACCGTTGCGGCCATTGACCTCGACTCAGGACCCAATGCCCAGCTCACTTACACCGTCATATCAGACTGGGCTAATGATGTGTTCTCGCTCAACCCTCAGACGGGGGTGTTTACCTTGACAGCTAGACTGGATTATGAAGAGGTAAGTTATAATCTGGAATTTCAATTATATATTTTGTAAACGAATACTACATAAAAGTTTTTAGAAAAAATGACCAAAGACGCATTTACAAGCATTCATTAGCAGAATAACGGTTTTTTTTATTAGAAAACTCGTAACAACAGCAGCACCTCAAAGGAAAAAAACTCCAAAGATAAGACTGAGATTAAGGTCACGTACAAAGTACGTTACGCATGCTCATTGCTCAAGTCTCGATGAACCGAACCGAAAATAAAATGACAGCAAATGTTAATTGGGCCTTAAAACGATTGAGTAGTAAATGTACTTTGACAATAACCTCACAGCGGGCATGCGGTTGCACCAAGTACGGAGGCAACTCTTTAAAAACACTCGTAAAGTGGCGCGGCATCGTCGTAAAAACGGACGAAATGTGCAATTAAAAACACTTAAAATAGATTAAGTGATTACCGTGGAAAACATTTGCGAACGATCAAGAAACGAAACGGATTCAACGCACTTCCAGACCTTGGCATATTGGGCTCAGACTACAAAAACGTATTTTTAAATAGTACATTTACAATTTGATCGAATAATAATTTCTGGAATCTATCTTGAAATTGAGTCGTATTGACAAGACCTCAAGATCGCATTTACTTGTATAGTAAGACTTGAGCTGCCCTTCCATGTACTAAAATAGTCTGATTGATTCCAATCCAATCGTTGATTGCTGGTTGGCAATAAATAACAATTGTATCAAGTAGATGTTATTGCATTCAAGACTTTTATTTTGATACATTTGCTTGTGTAAATACGGAATTAATTAAAGCTTAATTAATTGTGTCGGTAAACTGTACTTATATGTTCGGTAGCGAAGACTTGCGACCTACACTCTTGAAGGGATAATCAATTTAATCTGCATTCGTTTAAGTTTTTTCGAACGAGAGGACGATGTCTGCTTGTTAAGAAAAGTGGCCAATATTTTATTAATGATTCCTTTTTATTTTATGAATGTTGCAATGTTTATAAAGTGAATAACTTGTACAGATATGTAAAAATCTACAAAGACATTGTAGATACATTATTTCTTTAAAAAGTCTACGTATTTTATTGAAAATATAGAGAACGTAGATACGAGTAAATCAATTCAAACTCTTCTATCTACATCTATAGATTACAAAAATATAAAAATTATAATTTTCGATTTGTCTATCAAACATGTAGTTCTGTTGACATGATCGAATTATACATCAAAGATTTTTCGCAAACGTTTCCAGCACCCCCGGCGATAGCAACTCGCAATTTAAAAATATGATTAGTTTAGATGAGTATCAATGTTGTGTTTTAAAGCAACACAATTTTTTTATTAAAACACTGGGAAATAAAGATCATATCTTTGTTCGTCTACTTGAGTATAATTTATGACTTCAACACCGACCGACGGTTAGGAGTTAAAATCATAAAGTTTGTCTGCGCCCAACATTGTTAAATGCCTTTGTATTGGTGCAAATGAGTTGCACCGTAGCCCTAGTATAATAAAATATAAATATTTTCATCTGCATATTCCATACAACAATATTGAAAATTGACGCCTCGTTGATGAGGCCTTCGTTGTATGGCTGGAAACGGAACCATTACTTTGTGGTTAACCGTGATGAGGCCGAGTCTCTAATGTATGTGTTAATTATTATTTAAAGATGGCGTATTTTGGAAGGAATTCGTGTTTGTTTGTTGGTGCTTTGCTATCGTGTTTTGTTTTGAGTCGGAAAGTTTTAGAGTTTTAAAAACATTATGATAAGATTGTTATAGAGGACGAATCGTGATGACGTAATAATGCGTAGAATGCTAAAGGAAATAAGAAATAAAAAAAAATAAAAGTAGTTACGTATTATTTAAAGATATGTGAGAGAAAATATATGTGGAGCATGACTGAGTTCTTGCAGTTTCTCCCCCAAGATATCTTTCGCATCGTTCCTAGCTGGAACATTGTATAACAATTTAATGTGGCTTGCATTTTTTTATAAGTTGACTATTTAAAGTGTTTTGTACCGATTCACATGTACTAGCCCCTGACTGCTCGCGGCCATACATTGCGGTTGAAAGAATTATCGTAACATAGATCTTGATGAGGGCATTGACCGCTCAGCATCTCAACGACGTCACTTTTTTAAGTACTTCTAAATAAGATTATTAGTTCAGTTATTGTTAATAGGATATACGCTAATCCAAAGTTTACATCTCACATAAAATGTTTTAAAGCTTTTGGTAGGTCGTAAACTTTTGAACAGGTTACTCGAGAATTTTTAGCTTATAATCGTAATAAGAATTTCATTCGATTGAAGCTCTCTCAAACCGACTCTGATTGCCTTAATACAAAGTATGCTGACTTGCTGATTAAGTCAGCTGCAATTCCTATATTGGGTATTTTTCGTATTTTCAAAAATTTCTTAGTAGCAGCACTGAGTCTATAACTGCTACTGGCAATAACCTTATCCCCGTTACATGGGGCTCATAAAGTACTTGGTGCATAGTAGGTAAAAAATACATCAATGTGCATTTCTGCTCAAACCTTCGAAAATAAATGGCGTAACGATCTATGAAAAAAAAGTTACTTTCGTAATTTCGTACCATAAACTGAACTTGGCAGATCAAATGCTTCAACCCCCCGGTAGATTTCAGAACACCTGTCGTCATGGCTACGCGACGCCGCTCGCGGCTAATTATAAATAAATTACCCTTTTTAGTTTAACATTAATTTATGATAAGCTATTCTACATTTATCAGTTTATCTCAATGATAATCTTCATACCAGTAGTGCACAGTCGAGGTATACACACGACATTAATGTATTTTCGCAAAAATAAAGCACTAGTGCATAAAATTTATTATGAACCATGAAAAATATTGCATGTTGTAGATAATATACGCAATTTAAGTACGAAGGACAATTTTGCCTTCAGGCTTGTAAGTAGGATCGCATTGTAGGTATTTAATATGAAGCGAGTCCGGTCCACCCAATAATTGGCATACGTGCCTGCCTACCTACCTATATGATTCGTAGGACCAAAGTACATTGTAAGTTGGATGTCTCTAAATGTGTGAGTAAGAATTTCACGTGCATATATTTTGGTGATAATAGTCGTTTCTGGAAGGACGATTTTAAGGAAATACTAATAGCATATTAGCGGTTCGTGGTACTTACAGTGATTTAACATGACAAATATCATCAATAGTAATGTGCTTCTATTTGCAAAATTAAATCTAACTTTAGAATACTAGATAGGTAATTGTGTAAAATAGATAATAAAGTAAATTTAAGACAAGAGATCCTGTTTGTTCTTATCCTATATAAGTATAAAATAATAAATAGGTTATTTGAGTTTGACGCATATATTATCATTACTAGATATACTTTCCACTTTGTTGAAATACCTAATCTAAGTAATGGACATCTCATAGCATTTATCAAAAATTATAACTACTTACTTAAACATAAAATATAACGGTGGTTCTAAAATGTTATGCAACAAAGTATCGTTTCAGACAAATTAAAAACGGTAAAATCTTAAATTAATTTTGTCGCTGTGTTTCGTCGTGTGAGTGAGGTGGTCGGAGACCCAATCCATCCCCTCTCCCATTCTTCCCCAATCCTTAAATATCAGAAACTCTAATCTCCAATTCGCACTTGTATCTCCTTTTGTTAGTTTATCATGGGCAGGGCCGATTGCTTACCATCAGGTAATCCGTCTGCTCTTACGCCGAAACATTTCATAAAAAAGTAATTTTGGTTGCAATTAAATATACTTAGTTTTAGTCTTCAGAAGTTTGTTGATTGTAGATTTACGTTCATACTAATGAGATGACAATTTACTAACATTTTGTGTGTGCAACAAGGTGCATAATGTATTGAATGTTGCAGTCGGCAGCTATACACATCCTCAACATACACATGTTAACTGAACAAACATAAAAAGTTAGTGATTGAACAAAGCGAGGCATGCCTTAAACTTATGACTTCGCTATGTGCACAAAGTTTTTATTTCGTCAAGCCAGCTAAAGTCTATTTAACATGTTTTTGCGGTACCACCACCTTATTGTGCCCATCGATGCTGTAGTAAAATGACAAACAAGTCGTTAAATTTTCTATGGACATAAATCAAAGGTCGTTTTGTAATTTTTTGGTATAAGTAGAGGATGATTTTATATTTATGTGCAATATTCCTGAAGCATTTTCTAACAAGTTCATATTATTTACTACCTAGATGTAAACGCTGGCGAGGTAGACGTAGGAATAAGGCAGGCGTTAGCTACATTATCAGGTTGTTTAGGCTGATTAAGCCAAATTCCAATACGATTGGATTCTATAAAACAATAAATAACTGAAACAGGCAATGTTTTCATAACGTTCAGATATTTTCGCAAGAGTATCGAGCATATGTAGAGATGACGCTTTGGTTTATAAATTCAAACATAGTTTTTTATTGTTAAATTTAATAAGTAGTTATAATGATAATTTAATTCAAAACTTGATTATTCGCGCTATCAATATTCAAGATCGAGATGTCAGTCACTAGGTAGCCTACTTAGCTCCCGTGGAGTCCCCGTAACGTCAACAACGTAGCATGCACTTTTTGAGCCCATTGCAGCAAGAAACTCGTTCCATTGTTTTTAAAACGATCTTCTGTTTCTGTGCGTGGTGCATTGTGGTTGGGTCCGGGTGCATGTCTCCGCGCGGTACATAAGGGCGGTGTTCGCGAGCCTTCCGCGCCGCGCTGGACTCATCAAGTCGGCCGGCCCCGTTAATTAGTAAAAACAATTCGCTGGGTACATTCGTTCTCTCGACCGCCCGCCAATTCCGCGTACCCCGCTAGAGAGCTGCTAATTTCATCCCGGTACAGTTTTTTCGCGTCGCGCATCATATTCGGCATTTGCCCGCTCGATCCGCCATCGAAATTAAGGCTCGAACAATGTCTGACAAAGCGGCCGTCCGCAAAACATCCCCGAGCCGGATTCCGCGACCACTACTTGTTTTTTAAATCGCCATCTCGCTCCACGATCCGCGAATGAGGGAGCTTGTCATAGCTGGGAAGCTTCGGTGTCCTATATTATATGGAAAATCTGAATGCCGCCGTCATTCGTAAAATGTTGCCGTCGTACTTCGAGCAATGCTTTGTTTTATAGTTAAGATTTTCTTGACGTTGTTTATTTTTTATAGCTGACCATGATATTATTATCTTATTAACAAACTTGGTAATGGTACTGTACCATTAAAGTTTGTTAATGCAGGTACTGTTGGTTATACACCAGCGTTAATTTGCTGATTTTTTGCATATATGTACTTTGAGCATGTATTTGACTTACTTTATAAAAAACATACGAATAAATTAGTTTTTCTGAAATCTTTGCACAGATTAATAAAATACTTATAACAAAATGGATTAAATTATCCGTAGTAGTAAACTGTAAGTAAGTACCCTTATTCACTACACCAAACCAAATGTAATTATTGATAAAACATATTAATTATTTCAGACTCAACACTACATTTTAGTAGCACAAGCTCAAGACAATGGCCACCCATCTCTATCTGGCACCGTGACCGTCTACGTCAACGTGATCGATTTGAATGACAATGCTCCAATATTTGACCCCATGAGCTTTTCGAATGAAATCCTTGAGGACGTCCCTATTGGTTCATCAGTGGTTACCATCAGCGCTACTGACTTAGATTCAGGTTGGTAGACATTACTTTAAGATAGAAATCATAACTACATAAATAGTATGTTTATGAAACAATGTATCAGTAATTATTGTTTTCTCATTTTAATGCTTCCTAGGATGAAGACAGGTAAAACAATGCAATTTTGTAGAGTTTGAAGATATTTCAAAGATTCTATGCTAAATAATGGTCTTCAAACTTACAGGTCTAAATGGTAAAGTAACATACAGCATCAGCTCTGGCGATGAAGGTCAGGACTTCAGTATAGCTGAGAACGGTACAATATACACGGCAAAACTGCTGGACAGAGAAACATTGCCGATTTACAACCTTGTTGTCACTGCCAAAGACATGGCGATACCTCCTGAACCTCAACTTTCTTCTACAGTGCAGGTAAAAATAAACATTAACCCAACATAATTATTCTCTAACGGTTTAAGGCTAAAAATACATAATTATCTTGCATGTAAAAATCAATTTATATTATTAATCATGTTGATTTATTAGAATACACGTACATCAATGGCTACACCCATTAATAAACATGTATCGTCTCGAACATAGGAATTACCATATTTTCAAAGTTATGCTCTGATCCGACGTTTACTTTCAAACAACTCGCATCATATTTACAAGGGACACCATATTTACTTTAACAGGGTCGTGTCACTTTTAGAAAGCCCGTACTGGGTATCCACATACCTCTATTAAATGGTGTTATAAGGGATAATTTTGTTGTTTGTATTTACTAACAAATATTCAAAAGGTTATTTACATAATAATCAAAGAAATGCTTTGATATTCGTTAAAAAGTTTGTCACTGCAAGCTTTTAATATTATTGTGATATTTTGAAATGGCTTCGCATTTACGAAGTAGTTTCATAACTTTGAAACTATTAGTGATTTAGTTAACTTGAAATGTTAAATCCGAGCCTTTAAAAATCACGTTCATTACGACCCATTGTTAAGTGTTTCTATTGTTGCATTTCACAATATGCCTCTGATGAGAGTAGACGGAAGCATAGGATGCGTTTTATTTTATTGTATTATTTGTACATAAATAACAAAATTCACATTACTGCATCCGGCTATTTTTTTACTTCATTGATTCACTAAAATATCTTAAAGTTTTTGGTTTCATTTTATTTGATGGTTATTGTTTGTATTTCGTTTTCACACACTTTTATGGCCTCTTTTATTATTACAGGTTACGATACAACTAAAGGATGTCAATGACATGGCCCCTGAGTTTGTTACACCGAACACAACAACAGTGTCAGAAAATATTCCACTTAACACCGTCGTAATGACAATAAAAGCAGTCGACAAAGATGAAGGAAGAAATGGATATGTTGAATATTTTATGAATCCAGATCCAGAAATCAATGGTTATTTTTCTTTGGGAAATGTTGATGGTATTTTACGTGCGACAGGAAAATTAGACAGAGAATTGAAAGCAAGCTACACCATTATTGTTACTGCTAAAGATAGAGGTGACCCACCTAATGTAACAAAATCTAAAATAAAAATAAATATTTTGGATGAGAATGATAACAGTCCGGTATTTGATCCTAAGCAATACAGTGCTTCTGTACCAGAAAATGCCAGTATTGGAGCCAGCGTCTTACAAGTATGTAAACATTAACAGTAATATAAACTCTCTATTAACTTATTATTCCCATCAACACATTTTCAATAATTGAATGTTAAATTTTACAGGTTTCGGCTACTGATATTGATGAAGGTGCAAACGGAAGAGTCAGATATTCTATTGCTTCAGGCGATGAAAATAGAGACTTCAGTATTAGTGAGGATACTGGCATTGTAAGAGTTGCTAAAAATCTCAACTTCGAAAGAAAGTCCCGTTACTTACTTACAATAAGAGCCGAGGATTGTGCTAAAGACGATGTCAGATTCGATACGGCTGAATTATCTATTTCAATTCAAGACATAAACGATAACCCACCCACGTTCCTTGATTCACCGTACTTAGCGTACGTAATGGAAAATGTAATTCCACCCAATGGCGGGTACATAATAACAATTCATGCTTATGATGCTGATTCACCTCCATTTAATAATCAAGTCCGCTATTTCATAAAGGAAGGCGATGCGGATCTTTTCAAAATAAACGCTTCGTCTGGGCAAATTTCCTTGTTAAGAACATTAGATCGTGAAGCACAGGATGAATACACCCTTGCACTTGTAGCAATGGATACCGGTAAGTTACGTGACTATAAAATTTAGATTATATTGTGATTATATTGTATTGCAAGCACATGAATTTTAATATTAGTACATAGAGTGTAACGCTATGCCATGTTAACCCTGAAGTGAATCTGAGGCAATTTCTATAGGCCAATATTCAATTGTCACAGGTTAAGTTGTAAGACCATTTTAATAGGGGTGAACTTATTACCATTTATCGGGCACAGTTCCTGTGTTCTTGCTTTTAAGAAAGATTTTTACTAAAATTTAAAAACACTTCGATATCACTTTACCCTATCCGGGAGTCGACATATCAAAATACGCATATATCTGATGGTTTTTATTGAAATTTACTTATTTTTCCATTTGTTTTACAGGTTCACCACCTCTTACTGGATCCGGAACAGTAAAAATTGTGGTACAAGACGTGAATGACAACAGTCCTGAATTTGAAAGACAAAGTTACAGAACTAGTGTCAGAGAAAATTTACCTCCTGGAACTATTATTCTCAGTCCAAAGGCTACGGACAAGGATGTAGGAAATAATGCTAAAATAAGATACAGTCTTCTTGGAGACAAATCAGAAAGATTTCAAATTGATTCTGCAACGGGTGTTATTTCGACGAATGAAACGTTAGACAGAGAAGATTGGGATGTTTACTATCTGATCATAATGGCGCAAGATTCGTCGACCACTGACCCAAGAACGGCTACTGCTAACCTTACTATAATAGTCGAAGATGAAAATGATAATACGCCAACGTTTGCTCATCCGGTGTACGAAGCTCACATATCTGATCGGACTGTAAAAGGCGATTTTGTGTTCGGTGTAAAAGCCAGTGACAATGATATTGGCCTAAACAAAAAGATTGTTTACGACCTAAAAGGCGAACATCAAAATTTATTTTCAATCAATAGGGAAACTGGTGTGATAAAAGCCACTGAAAATCTAATGAAATTCAAAGATAAAATAGGATCCACTTTCAATCTACTTATTATAGCGACTGACAGTGGTATAGTTCCAAAACAGAGCACTGCCGAGTTAATACTTATACCGAAGTCTGTGAAAAATTTCCCGAAGTTTACAGTGACAAATAAATTGACATTCACTTTCTCTGAAGATACTCCAGAAGGCGTTTTAGTAACCAGATTGTCAGCAACATCACCCAAAAAAGGCCCAACTGGGTTATTGCAATATGGAATTGCTGGTGGTAACGTCGGTGATGCTTTGAGAGTAGAACCAATGAGTGGTGAAGTATTTATCACTGGAAAGGGACTCGACTACGAAACAATGCCTCTATATGAAGTTTGGTTCGAAGTAAGAGATTCTGATAACCCACCCTTAAAATCATTCATTGAAATCGAAATTAAAGTAACAGATGCAAATGACAATCCACCAGTTATTGAAAACGCTTTATATAATGCAACAGTATTAGAAGAAGAATACCCACCGCAGTTGGTAATTAAAATAGAAGCACACGATGACGATTCAAATGAAAATGGTAGAATATCTTTCAAATTAGTCAATGACTATGATGAAACATTTAGAATCGATCCAGAAATCGGAGAAATATACACAAACATTGCTTTAGATAGAGAGTCAATTCCATTTTACGAATTAATCGTTGAAGCAGTAGATCATGGTGTACCACAACTAATTGGAACGTCCACAGTAATAGTTACAGTCTTAGATAAAAATGATAATCCACCAAGGTTTACACGACTCTTTAGCGTAAATGTAACTGAAAACGCTGAAATCGGGTCGTTTGTAATTAGAGTTACCAGTTCTGATCTAGATACCGGTCCTAATGCAAATGCAACCTACAATTTTGTTGAAAATCCTGGACAAAAATTTGTCATAGATCCTATAAGCGGCAATGTTACAGTTGCTAGACCGCTTGACAGAGAATTACAAGATGAATATATTCTTAAAGTAGCAGCGACTGATGGGGCTTGGCGTTCAGAAACACCTTTGACTATCACAATACAAGATCAGAATGATAACGCACCTGAATTCGAGTATTCATTTTACAGTTTTAATTTCCCAGAACTACAACAGAAGAACAGTTTTGTTGGTCAGGTTATTGCTACTGACAGAGACAAACAAGGACCTAACTCGATCATATCATACTCACTGCAACAGCCGTCTGATTTATTCTCAATAGATCCAGCTACAGGAGAGATATTAAGTAAATTTAAAATGAACTATAAAAGAACATCAGTCAATTCTTCTCCAGAAAATACATATTCTGTGGTCGTCGTAGCGACTGACAATGGCAAACCACCTATGTCCTCAGAATGTTTGGTGACAATAAACGTAGTGGATGCTAATAATAATGCACCTAAATTCAAAGAACATGAAAAGTTTGTACCTGTACCAAAGGATGCTACATCTGGAGAAAGGATTATCAAATTAACAGCTGAGGATAATATGGATTTCGGTATAAATGCTGAAGTTGAATACTTTATATCAGGCGGTAATGGTACTGCATACCTTACCATAGACAAGAAAAGTGGCTGGATCATTGTTAGCAAACAATTTTACTATCTTGGCCAGTATTATGAACTAAAAATAAAAGCCGTAGATCGCGGTGTTCCTCCACAATCTGATGAGACAACCGTAATATTCGTTGTAACTGGTGAAAATATTTACAGCCCTAAATTCACAGCTCTTAGTTATCAGGTTATTGTACCCGAAAATGAACCAGTTGGTGCTTCTATATTGACGGTTAAAGCAAGCGACGAAGATGAGGGACCTAATGGAATAGTGCGATATTCAATATCTTCTGGAAACGCAGGAGAAGAATTCCAAATCCATCCCATATCTGGGGCTATAAGCATATTACGTCCTCTTGATTTTGATACGATCCAAGAATACAGACTGAATATTACTGCAAAAGATCTTGGTTTCAAGTCCAAAGAAGCTGTAGCAACTCTTACAATTATTTTGACTGATATCAATGATAATGCTCCTCAATTTAATCAGACAAAATACGTTGCATATTTACCAGAAAACTCGCCTGTTAATAGTTTTATATACAAAGTTACAGCTATTGATATCGATTCACCGAAAAACGCCATTATAAAATATTTCATAAATAATGATATGGCTTCGCTTTTCCATATTGACGTTAACACAGGAGAAATATTTTCCAAAGAAGTATTTGATTATGAGGAAAAGAGAGTTTATACATTGGAAATAAGGGCCGAAAACCCTGATTCAATAATGCGTAACACAACTGAAGTAATAGTATACATAACTGGTGTGAACGAATACTATCCAAAATTCAAACAGCCCGTATTTCATTTCGATGTTTCCGAGTCTGCTGAAGTTGGAGCGACTGTTGGTGTTATTCAAGCCACGGACCAAGACAGCGGAGACGACGGCATTATATTCTATTTATTTGTAGGTTCTAGTAACGATAAAGGCTTTAGTATCAATTCACAAACTGGTGTAATTCGAGTAGCACGTTATTTGGACAGAGAAACACAAAACCGAGTAGTTTTAACAGTTCTTGCAAAAAATTCTGGCGGTATCCGCGGCAATGATACTGATGAAGCACAAGTGATTATATCTATCCAAGATGGAAATGACCCACCAGAATTTTTACGACATTACTACGAAGCTACTGTATCGGAAGGTGCTAGTATAGGTCAAGAAGTTATTCAAGTAAAGGCAGTTGATAAAGACGTACGCCCGCAGAATAATCAATTTAGTTTCTCAATAATAGGCGGCAATACAAATCAGGACTTCAAAATAGATCCACAAACCGGAGAAATTGAAGTGGTTCGTCTATTGGACAGAGAAACTTTGCCCATTTATACATTGATAGTTGGAGCCATTGATACAGGAATCCCGCCACAGACTGGTACTGCAACTGTAAAAATAACTTTGTCTGATATAAACGATAACGGACCTATATTTGATGCTTCTGGCTTTGAAGGTTCTGTTTATGAAAACGAACCTCCTAATACAAGTATTGCTACACTCTCCGCAACAGATCCTGACTTACCACCAAATGGAGCTCCATTCTCGTATGCTATCATTGGCGGGAAACATCAAAATTATGTCAAGGTTCATAAGCATACAGGTGTGCTTTTGACGACAAAGAAAATTGACAGAGAAGAAACACCAACTCTAGAAGTGGTTATACAGATAGAAGATAGCGGAAACCCAGTTATGAAATCAAATTACACAATATTCATAAAAGTGCTAGATAGAAATGACAATCCGCCAACACCAAGATCGGCCCACGTAATCGTTTATGCATTTAATAATAAAGTTCCTCGTGGTAAAATAGCCGATGTTAAACCAAACGATCCAGATATCGTAGGAGATTACCGGTGTAAAATTATAAAAGAATCAACATCTGAAAATACGCTCTCGCTTCTCAGTATTAGATCAGGATGCAACTTATACACAAATGCTGTTAAGCCTGGACAGGGATATTCATTTTCTGTCTCAGGAAATGATGGTGTTCATAGGGACGTTGTATCTTCTATAAGTGTTGAATATTTTTCATTTGATAATAATACTGTTGAACAATCTATTACTTTAAGAATACTGAATATGACTGCAACAGACTTTTTAACGCATTATTACAGAAGTTTACTAGAAATTTTACAAGAAAGCCTAAAAAGCAAGGAAAGTATTTATTTGTATAGCATTAATGAAGTTGATGGACATTTGGATTTAACTATAGCAACAAAAAGCAACCATACTATATGGAAAAGAGAAGTGACCGAGAAGTATCTTAAAGCAAAGGAATTCCAAATTACCAAGTTATTAAAAAGTCAAATAATAGTAGCCTATTTTCCATGTGCTTCACAGAAATGTAAAAACGACGGGCTCTGCACAGATGCCATTCGTGTTTTAGATGATACGAAAATTATAGAGAGCCCATCACTCATTTTATCTTCACCGTTAGTCAAACATGAATATACTTGCCACTGTACGGATGGTTTCATTGGGAGCAATTGCGAAAAACGTCAAGATCCATGTTCTCCGAACCCTTGTCGCTTTGGAGGAATATGTCGAAAACAGGGCCATGACTTTACGTGCACTTGTCCAGCCCGAAGAGATGGTAAAACTTGTGAGATGGAAAGAGATGACGTGTGTAGCAGTAACCCATGTAAAAATGGAGGATCTTGCAAGGAAAGCGCTGATAGAAACTCATTCTTTTGCTTATGCCGACCTGGGTATCGAGGTAATCATTGTGAAGCGTTAGTTGACTCTTGTCGTCCCAATCCGTGCATGCATGGAGGAATATGCATAAGTTTAAAGCCTGGCTACAAGTGCAGCTGTCCAAATGGTCGCTACGGAACACACTGTGAAAGTACTACGTTTGGTTTTGGTGAACTATCTTATATGCAATTCCCATCTCTAGACGCATCCACCAACGACATCACAATAATTTTTGCCACAACAAAACCAGACGCTCTGCTATTATATAATTATGGTGGCCAGACCGGCGGCAGATCTGATTTTATAGCTATTGAATTATTGGGAGGCAAACCTGTATTTTCATTTGGTGGAGCAAGAACATCGATCACATCAGTCGCCATCATGAATTCAAAGAGGAATCTCGCCGACGGTAACTGGTACAAACTGACAGCGACAAGAAATGGACGTGTGATTTCGTTGAGCATCGCTACGTGTACAGATCATGGAGACGTTTGCACAGAATGTGACCCTAGTGACGACTCATGTTACGATGACGATACTGGACAAGCAGGGTACGTATTAGCTAGAACAATACTTAAAACCAAAATTTTTTTTGTGTAATAGGTCTGCAAACGAGCTTACAGATTACCTGATGGTAAGCAATCAGCGCCGCCCATGGACAACGGAGGAGTTACGAGTGCGTTGCCGACCTTTTAGGGATTTGGAGGTTTAAAGATTGAGGAGGGATTGGGGGCCGGGAAGGATTGGGCCTCTGGTAACCTCACTCACACGACGAAACACAACGCTGTGGTTGTTTCACGCCGGTCTTCTGTGAGGCCGTGGTATCACTCCGGTCGAGCCGACCCATTCGTGCCGAAGCATGGCTCTCCCACACTTAAAATTTAATAATCACAGTATATTTATTTATTAAATAAACAGAGGACTTTTGACGTAGTTAAAAAAATGCCCACACTAGGATTTTCTCCTGCGTGGGTGCGTTTACAAACATACAATTTCACATACATATATATCCCACATTTGATACACTTTAATCTTTCTTATACATACAACTCGTATCAGTTATAATTTGCATTTTTTAAAGATTTATTTATTTCCTTTCAGAACGCTGAATTTCAACAATGAACCTTTACTCATTGGTGGCCTTCACAAAGCAGATCCTGTGTTAGAGCGTCCAGGACAAATTCACTCCGATGATTTCGTTGGATGTATGCACAGTATTACAATCAATGGTCGTCTGCTCAACTTGACTAACCCACTTAAGTCACGAGGAGTAGAGCCAAAGTGCGAACGTTCTGAAAAAGGTGCCTGTTTCAAGAAAGATATTTGTGGCTCAGGGCAGTGTTTGGATAGATGGAAAGCGAATTTATGCCAATGCAAAGGTGATTTAATATCTCCAGACTGTGGTGTTTCACTTCAATCTATTTCAGTAGCCGAAAATGGTTTTGTTACATACACAATATCGGAAAAACACAGAAGAATGCAATTATTAGAAACATTTTATGGAGGTAACACTGGATGGATAAAAAAGAACAGCAAAGCTATTGGCAAAGTCATTCCCAAAGTCAACAGTCCAGCAAAGAGTTTATCATTCTTCTTTAAAACACACAGAAAAGATGGTGTCTTATTTTATTCAGCAACTGACAAATATTATACTGTTATTGAGTTATTAGAAGGAAAAGTTAGTTATACCTCCAAACAGAACACCGTTGTAAATATGAGCCAATCGGAACAAAGTGATGTGTCCGACGGTACCTGGCACAACATCACTCTTGTGTCGGTCGGAAGAAGTATACGTTTGCTTGTTGATAACAAGAATGTGGGCGAAGAACTTGATGCTGCCGGTGTCCATGACTTTTTGGATCCCTATTTAACAGTTATTTCAATTGGAGGAGTGAAAACTGAATGGATAACTACAGCCAGTCAAAATAAGTTTGAAGGATGTTTGGCAAATTTTTCGATAAACAGTGAGATTCAACCATTTAGTGGGAACGGCAGTATATTCAAAGAGACCACTTATAGAGGCAAAATATTGAATGGTTGCCATAGTGCTTTTGGAGTTGGTGCCGCACAAAATCATCCGTTGCGTATCGGCATTACACTAGTAATAGTGTTCTTCGTAATTCTTTTAGTGGCAATTTCAGTGTCAATTATCTTTTACCGACTTCGGAAGCAAAAGAAAGAAAAAGGGAATGGGTCTGCTAACAAAAGTAACATGGTACACTCAAAACAAAATGGAGGTCCTGCCATGTTAAATGCACCAAATTTAATAGCCGGAACAAATGACAGTTTAATGAATAGAAATCTGCATAATAATGACACAAGCCTAAATAGTTACATGTCAGAAAATGCTGATATTACACGTAATGTAGGCCATATTGTAGGTCCTGAGTTATTATCGAAGAAATACAAAGATAGAGAAATAATGAATATTGATCCGCCAAGACCTCAACGCCCTGATATAATCGAGCGTGAAGTGGTCGGAAAAAGTCCAGCTCTTAGAGAAGATCATCACCCACCTCCACCACCATCGACAAATACGTCACATCACACACATGATCATCCTAGTGGTATGGACCTCAATTCTGAAGTTCCGGAACACTATGACCTTGAGAATGCTAGTTCAATAGCACCATCTGATATAGATATTGTTTATCATTACAAAGGTTTTAGAGAAGCAGCAGGTGTTCGCAAATACAAAGCTACCCCACCACCTATCGCTGGCTATCATCATAAGCACCAAACTCCTCAACATCGTCATTCACCACATCATCCAAGTGGATATCCATCACGTGTGCCGCAGGCAGCCCAACCTCCTCCTCAGCCAAGACAACATCAAACAACACCGCTTGCACGACTGTCTCCCAGCAGTGAACTCAGTCAACAACCAAGAATATTAACTCTTCATGATATATCTGGTAAACCGTTGCAAAGTGCCTTGTTAGCCACTACTTCAAGTTCTGGAGGTGTTGGTAAAGATGCTCTGCACAGCAATAGTGAAAGAAGTCTGAACAGCCCCGTTATGTCTCAGCTAAGTGGGCAAAGCTCTTCAGCCGGAAGGAAAACACCTAGTGCACCGCCACAAGTTCCACAAGTGGTGTCTGTTGGCTCTGGCGCAGTGGGACTAACAGCAGAAGAAATAGAAAGAATGAATGCCAGACAGCGGACTTCCAGCTTAGTTTCAACATTAGACGCGGTGTCAAGTTCAAGCGAAGCGCCTCGTGGCGGAGGTGTTGGTCACCATATGTCGCATAGGCATCATTCGCCTCCAGATGATAATCGAAGTTCTACTGGCTCAGATGATGAAAGTGGGAATGATAGCTTTACTTGTTCAGAGATAGAATATGACAATAATAGCATTAATGCTGATAAATTAGAGGATGTGAGAAGACAGAATGTTAGTAGTGGAAGTAATCCCAAGAAACCTATATTACCACCACCATACGAAAGTTTTGATTCCTCATTTCGTGGCTCGCTGAGCACTCTAGTCGCATCCGATGATGATTTAGCTCCACACGTTAGTTCCGCACTGTATCGGCAGGCGAATGGCTCCCCAGCGTCGGCAGCACTTGGTTGGGGACCTGCAGCCTTAGACCTGTTTAATTGGGGACCAAATTTTGAAAGCATGATTGATGTCTTTAAGGATATAGCTGAATTACCAGACTCTGTGAATGGAAGAATGTCTTCCTCTCTAAGACTGCAGAACGGGACCCCCAAACCGTCAGAAGAATATGTTTAATGTTAATTAGGATGTAAATAGGACTAAATAATTGTTTAAGGTTTTGTAAAATAATTGTTGTGACCTTGTATCAAGGTCTCTATATTTTCTTGCCATATATTGTTTATATGTTTTCATAATTAATTGTGTGTCTTGTCAGAAATTATTAGATGCAAAGATGTAAACGTAGACAATACATTATTTTGTGGCTTAGTACTGCAGAGATGTATTCATAAGTGTCAGGTATATTTGTAACTAGTGAATTTTTGAATATAATACAAATGACACACTAGAATAGGCATTTAAATGAGTGACGGTATTGTCTATCGTCTTTTGGAGCTAGTTATGAAAACCAATGCGTTATGAGATGAGAAATGTGGAATGAAAAGTTTTACGAGTACCTACTTTTACTACTCCGACATTGATTTATTACAGTTCCAATTAGAAAAACCTCATTGTAAATAATGTTTGTAAATACTATTAATTTTAGAATTTATAATATCTTTTATGTAAATATGAACAGTGAAATATTTTAGGTTCAAATTACACAAAATTCTAAGAGCTCTGACTGATTGGAAATGATGTGTAACCATTTCATGTAAATAATATAAATACGCTTATTTAATGATATTAAATAAATCCATGTGATAATGTCTTTATCTACTCATATACATATTTGAATATTTGTTGTCAGTTTTTCAATATAAGACAGTAATGTTAAACGGTTAGAGCCCATTTTCCGTTATTGATTGTATCGCCATATTATTTAGTAAAGTGCCAAATGACTTTAAATAATTTTAAATAACTGACTGATTTCATAAATAAATCGTAATTTAAAAATATGGATTTTTTATTTTATTTATTTCATTTTTATCATAGTAAATCCAACTATTATATCCGCCAACACGGCATTACCTATTCATTGTAAACAATGCTGGATTAAAAACAATTGTTGTGTTATTTAGATATAACAATAAAGTTGTAAGGAAGACGTTACATGGAAGTGTTATGAAGGACAGCATAATATAAGGAAACCCTATCCAATCAAACTATAAAACTATGATAAAAATACTTAAACACACAATGCCCTATACACACATCACACACATGTTTATTATATCATTATGGAAATGATTAACTCATTTCCATAATAAGAAATCTGAGATAAACACATCAAATCGATTTAATATAATTTAATTAAAAGTATAAGCCAGTAAAACAACCATTAACATAATAAAGTTCATTATTTACAATGTGAAACCAATTTTTATAATGAAAATATTAAATAAAGTCGCATATCGTAGGTGTTATATAGAGTGTTATATAAAGAAAAATAAACAAGGCTGTTTACGTTTCTGGATATAAAAGCAAACAGTACGTACGTAAACCAAAAACAACAATGCCCTTAATTCACTATCAGCAGACTTTTCAACAGTAATAACGTACTTATAATGAAAACACAGCAAAATACACCAAACGAAGATAAGATGATAATGCATGCTTGTTCCCTTACGACAATTTCAATGTTATTTACATAATAATTTGGAACAATAAAGCCGAGGAGTTTAGTCACAGTAGTCTTTTTTTTCATACTTTGTATCTGAAGAGCTGAAGTGTTTTTTTTTTCGTTCTAATAGTTTTCGTGATGACTACTTCTTATGCTATCATGATCTTTATCATCAGCCTATAAGTACTAATTAAAAGCAAAGGCCTCTTATTACACTAAAAAGGTTATAGCATTCGTCACCATGCTTACTCAAGGCAGATTAGCGATTTGAAATGTCTAATGAGAAATTGTAAGTTCAGGTGTACTCATGAACATGACTGCACGGTCGGCACGGTGGCTGGGCAACTGGCTTTCACGCAACGTGTCGCGGGTTCGATTCCTGCACGGAACAACTGTTTGTGTGATCCACGGTAGGAAACCCTAGTGTGGGGCAACATTTTAAAATATATAAAAAAAGATGTTTTCTTTCACCGTTTCTCAATGGTGTCTAAATAAACTGAGAAATTGTGTATTTAGCTCGGATAAAGTCATATTGGTACTTGCCAAGTTTTGAGCCCGCGCCCGCATGGATGAGAAGCCTTGCCTTAACCTCCGGGCTACCACGACTATTTACGATTATAGGTAACATTAAAATTTATTAATAACGACCAATCATAGATAGGTAACTATTTTTACACAAAAAAGCAAAATATTTTTGGGTATCCAAAGTTCACTCAACTATGACAATTTGAATTTAAAAATTTTAAACACGTTCTCGTGCGGATTATAATATGTTCTGTACAACTACTATTAACAATTAAATCTTGAAGAATACAATATTATAAATACTGTATCAAAAGAAACTATAAAGGTTTTTTACAGGCGTCTGAATTTAACCGGTACACCTTAGTTCAATGATAAGCCCAGACGATGTGCATAAAGGCACAGTATAGTTTTAACTTTCAGTGGAGTTGACGAAAATAATTTTGATAGGGTTAACAATTCTACAGTTTTCTTTGTTTAAATCAGCTGTATGGTCGGTTATGCGTGAAGTTCGGCGGCTCAGTAAGGCACACTGCACAAGGTCTATATAAATGTGTCAGAGAGCCCTTAACGATAGTTCGGCACTACTAATGTCATCGGCACTATGTTTCTCATAGTTTTGTTAATTAACTTCATTTACATACGTGAGTATTGTAATGTAATCATCTCTTCCGACTCATCATTGGTGTTCTTCTTTTCATTTATTATAATTAAATTAATTACTTTTTTTAAATATTTCCTTCTTATCATAAAAACTTGTTTTATTGTTTAATTAATTATTTTATATATCACCAAACTTTTTTTAATTGTAATCAAAATTAAATAAATCATTTTAAAATATTGTTTAACTGTTGAATTAAAAAAAAACTGTTAAATTCAATTATCTGACGGATATAATGATAAGAAACATCATAACAAATCGGAAGTGAGTCCAAATCACTATGAATAATTTATACTATGTAATCAAAAACCCTCAAAGTGCAAACATTGACCGATCTTTGTGAAAGAAAACATATTAGTAGTTTTATATTTCCTATTAAAACATATTTTATTTAACATAAATTTTAATAGACAGAAATTACTTAAGTCATCCAAAGAATTTGTACGCCTAAATATGACGCATGTGGTGTCGATATCATGGCTACATCATAGACTGGTTTGATTCCATGAAGGTCCAGGAGTGCACTTCATGGAAACCATTCCATGAAGTGCACAGAGTCAATAACTATAACTAAGTACTAGTAAATGAATAAAAATGTGGATACCACTTCTTAAAGTAGTCGCGCGTTCATTAGCCCACACTGAGAAACGCTTTTAAATTATTGATCTCCTTAAACCACAACATGAAGTAGCATAAACAATCAAACGTTTTATAAAACGCAACCATTCAATGAAATACAACCACGTGCATTATATGTTGAGCAAATTCATGATATGGCCACAACATCCATATTTCTTTAGTAGTTAATAACTATACAAAGGGAAATCGAAGAAATTGTATACCTAACCATGCACATAAACACGGAAAAACGAATAAAGTTAGTTAATTTACGCATTAAAAATGCAACGATAATTAAACAAGTAACAAGTAATCTATATAATTAAAAAAATAGGTTAAATAAATGATAAACAAAACGATCGTTCTAGAAAAAAATACTAAAAAAGTAAACAATTTCCTTTCAAGTGTAGGTACTTAACATTCTTCAATTTGAATAACAGAACATTTTGTTAAGTCAGATCTGATACCTAATAAAAATGTTACATATTCGGGTAAGAAAACATATTACTGCGTCAAAGTAGAATTAAAATGAGTGTCAGACTCTTACTGACTAAAAACCCCCCGTTCCTTCTCCTGCTCTGGGCCAAGGTCGCGGTGCCTCATTGCGTTAACCTTGCAACCCTTCGATGGTCGCCTGCTGCGGCGGCTGGGGCGCGAGGAGGATAGTTCCCTCACGCGCTCCGCATCCTCTTTTGCGAGCATAGCTGCTTCGCGGAAGGAGGAGACAGCTTCCTAGTTCCTCTCTCTATGAACCGTGGCTCCGATTAAGGCTGGGCGCGAGAGGTCGCCGCCGCCGAAGTTGTTCTGCTCTGCTAACATCATTTATTTATTAATATAGAACTGTGTTATTAACGGATTTCGATGCCTTTTTTGGATAGCGACCGTGATTGAAGAGGAAGGTTTATAATGAAAAGCATGCTTCTCCCACAATAGACATCGCCTCATGAATATTAATATTTTTCAGATATTTATCCAACATCAGTAGCTGGCTATGATTGTGTAGCACCTCCATTGGAGTGCCCTAATGATAACATTACATTTTGGCTCTACACTAGGTGAGTACGAGTACTAAAGGTAAATTCATCAGATTTTAATAATTATTGTGATTCGATTTACTCATATTATATAGTTATTCGGAATTTGTAGCGTATGCAAAAGCGTGAAATCGTTCGTACCATATTTCTATTTATTTACTAAACACATTTTACTAGTAACTCTCGCGCAGTGTCACTCAGTGATCAGCTCCGTTTGCTAGTAGCGTGGTGTTTAATAGCAAATAGCACTCAGGAACTTTGAAGCTATATACCTAATTGTAAAATATCATATAAATAGAATTTTGGCAATCCGATTAGCGGTTTCAAAGATAACCCTCTACATACAAACTTACAAATTTTATCTGTAGGTATATGTATAATATTGTATTACTATATTTTATTTCATGTTAAATATAGAAAAAATGAAGACAATCCGCATCAATTAGTGGCTATGGATGCAAACACAATAGACAACGCTCCCTGGGTGGAAGACGCTCCGATCAAAATCCTGATACACGGGTACACAGGCAATAAAGACTTTTCCCCTAATACGGAGATCAGACCAGGTAAACATTCTAGATTATTTCGAAAATCATAGGTATTATTAAATTAAGAAACTAAAACATTGGTCGGGTGGTTGCAAAAGCTATACTAGGTAAGAGATCTCGGAATCCTAAGCAAGTAAAGTTTATCGAGATTATATCAAAGAGTTTATGTCTAGCAAAAGGCGCATATTCAAAATACATACATAGGGCAGTATACGTATAAATCAAATGAGGATTAATGGACGGCTAAGAAATCAAAAAATGCCACGAGAATGTTCATACGTTTATGATGTATATGTCGCAGTAAGGGCGATAATATCTTATATATATTGTCTAGGCCGGCTCCTCACTGGTGCATACATTAACATTAGCTTAGATTTACCCTAAGAAAATTGTTAACTTAGAAGTATACTAATGACTCATTGAACACATTGTATGACATATGAAAACACACAAAGACTCATAAAAATGTTCGTAAAATACTAACCATGTCGTGTAACTCGTGCCACTGTATCAATTTTGTGTTTATGAGTACAGTCAGACAATTTATCATACTACAAAAGTATACTTTTAAATAAAGGTGGTATGGGCTCCTTGTATCAGATTATGATGAATTTACTATGCAACATGTTGAGGGTGTGATTCTAGCAAAAAACCTTTTAATAAGCGATTCGTAAATTTTTGTTCTGGGTATCAGTATGTGTGGTTGAGATTTAGATATATTACAAAAAAAAAAACGTTGCCCCACTCTCGCTTTGTCGCCTGTGTCGTGGGTGCATTTACAAACCTACACGTTGACATACACAAGCCTCCCAGACCCGAAACAACAGATCGTGGATCAAACAAAGTGTTGTACTGTGCGGGAATCGAACCCACGACACGTTGCATAGCAGCCAGTGGCCCAGCCACTGCGCCAACCGTGCAGTCAGTATAGTTCAGTATAGGATATAATAAAGTGACTACAAATTGTTTATTCAATTAATTCATTTTTCAGCATACATGGAGTGTTGTAACTACAATATAATATCAGTGGACTACAACCCGATAGCCCGGGAGCCGTGTTATATTGAGGCAGCAAAGAACACAGAGTTAGTTGGCATGTGCGTTGCCCAACTGATCGATCAACTTGTCCAAAAACATGGATTCAGCCTCGCGCGATTCCATCCTATAGGCTTCAGTCTAGGGGGACAAATAGCAGGATTTATTGGTGATTATGTGACGTCAGGAACAATGGAGAGACTTACAGGTAAATTATGTTTTTATTAAAACTGCTCTATAAGTGTATTCAGGAATTAAATTGATAATTTTGCGCCTAATGTAATCTGTTTGCTAACTTTTATTTTCATAATCTGTTGCCATTCACTTATATTAGGTGCAGAAAAATAAGTCGTCAACCTAAAGTTGACATGCAATATCTAATCTAATATAAATATGTAACCCTTCTTATAATTTGTAAAACATCCTAATAATTTGAGAGCACGTTCAGAAAAATGAAGTACACTGGGTTCTGTTCTAATTAAAATCTACTTTTTCCCACAGCATTGGACCCAGCAATGCCCCTGTTTGTGACAACTGACAATGGTAAAAAAATTGACAAAGAAGATGCTAAGTTTGTAGATGTCTTACACACGAATGCCCTCGAGAAAGGAAAACTCGAAGCTAGTGGACATGTCGACTTTTACGCCAACGGAGGTATCACGCAGCCTGGTTGTAAGTCTACCAAGGAACAAAGTAAGTCGTATTTTTATAATTTTCATTATCCAACTCGTGCCACATTTGCATTATATTATAAAATTTATAAAACATTGGAAGAAATTATTCGAATTTCAAACATTTAGTGAATAATTTCCTCTAGAACTATTTCATTCATAGGTATCATCTACATCATGAGTAAGCCTTCGCTATTTTAAACCACAACCCTTTGGACCTAGTTTTTTATTCACCATGTTATTACTATCAATTACAACAAAATAATTAAATGTCATACACGAACTATGCAATATAATTTTGACTGCGTGGTTGGCGAAATGCCTGGGCTACTGACAACAATTCAACGTGGCACGGGTTCGTTTCTCGTACGGAGCAAGTCATCATTCGATTCACAGATAGTTGTTCCAGGTCTGAGTGTGATGTGTATGTAAATTACTATGTCTGTTAATGAAGCTTAAATAGGAGACAATCCGAGTAGAGTTCAGACAAACATTTTCTTAAACACCAAAAATAAAACCAGCTATGTATTTCATTTTAGCTAAATCTGGCTGCGACCACGCCAGAGCTCCAGCATATTATGCAGAGTCCCTAACAACCGACGTAGGCTTCTATGCAACCAAGTGCTACTCGTGGATCATCTACATGATTGGTTGGTGCGAGATGTTCAACCCTAACGAGGAAGTACTCTTTGGAGAACATGTTCCTACAGAGTAAGTTATTTAAATGGCGACCAATAAGTAGAACATTGGAGATGTATTTTTTTTATAACGTAGTGAAGATAACGGTTGTCTATTGTTTTTTCAAATTATAGAATTGAACTAAACGTACTGGAAAAGGCCCAAACAGGTTTTACCTAAAAATAAATGTTTCTGGAAGAATTAACCACTCAATGTTATTAAGTCCCAGGGGGTTCTAGATATTGACGTCATAGTTTATAACCATTTGTTAGATGGACTTATGTTTTCCTTTTCTTCTTTAATTATATTATTAACATCAGCGCAAATTACTTCATTTTACACCTATTTCGCTACAGTAACTGCCTGCATTTTGCAAGGATAGCGAGTTGAGTGCATATTTCAAAAGAGCTGTTGATAAACCAGGCTGGCATTTGAGAAATCCTAATAACTACACGCTACTCAAAACAATCTCTGGTTACATTACAAATTTAATCTTTATAAATACTATGTTTTTTTACGCAATTCAACCAAGAAATAAATACACATGTTTATATTTAACCTTTTGATCGTGGTAATTTGTGATACAATAGAAGAAAAATAGGTACCCGAACGCCGGCGTTCGCTTTGGGTTTGATGAATTTAATAAGGTTATAAAAAAAGAAAAACACCTAAAATTGGGCTAGAAAAAGAATTGATTCTAACAATACATAAATATAATTAAGTACTAAATGCTATTATGTTTATCAACAATGGCAAATAGAATTCTCAACCATTTACCTGGTTCTATGATTAGTGCAGACACCGAAACACTTCCACACTTTCACTGAGAACAGTTTCCCTTTTCTTTAATCCAACTTCCTCCTCATGACGTGACATAATTATCATTACTTACATTATAACATTGACAGCCTAAACTTTTTTAAACGTGAACGTTTCAACTCAAGATTAATGACCTTTTTTTCATTTTCATATTCGAAATTCAAAATATTTTAATACTGAACTCGACTAGAAATTTGAGACTAGAAAGATAATCGCTAACAAAACGGGGATTTTCCTGTTCATAATTGTTGATCTTGTCTATCAAAAATGCAGCTATAATAGATTCGACTTTCTCATAAATGCAGAAACTGACTAGTCTTACATAACTTAAAGCAATATTACGCGAAGGTTTGCACTCTGAGTCAAGTAGGGTTTAATCACAAATTGAATGAAACTATTTGGACGATGAATTTCTTTCTTTTTTTTGTTATAACTCTCGTGAGACATTCTAAATTAATTATTATGTTTTCGGCTTATTCACGTAATAATTTGACGAGATACTCGACTAGTTTCAAGCCATGCTAGAGGCCCATTGTCATGAGCAGAATTTCTTTCTACTGAAGATTATTTGTTTGTAGCCTTGGTAGTCTCTACTAGACTATTGTATAGCTACTATATATAATAGTATAGCAAACTGGCTACAGCAACTCAAACTCTAAATACCAAAAATAAGGACTACATATAGATGTCATATTAAAAGAAAATTTTTCTTTTTTCCAGTGTGCAGGGTCTATACTTCTTCAGTACAAACTCTGAATCTCCTTTCGCACGCGGCTCAAACAAGAGGGGCAGAAGAAAAAGAAGTTACGATTTTAATTTAGTAGAGTAATAAATCGACTGTTAAATTAACATGTTTTTTTTTCTTTATTCTTCTCTAGCTTTTGCCCGCGACGTCCGTTCGCGTGGAATAGTGTCTTCCTGTAGATTTTTGGTATAAAAACTATCCTATGTCCTTTCTCGAGTTCCAAACTATGTCACTACCAAATTTCACAGAAAACGATTCAGTACTTTAGGCGTGCAGAAAAGACAGACAGACAGACATAATGACTTTCGCGTTTATAATATTATGTTGAATTGCATACAATTTTGGAATCAAATTATTATTTTGCCGTTGGTCATGAAGCACAGATAGCCTTCGTCTAGTTTCACGAGCAAGGTTGCTTGCAGGAATTAAAAAAGAACGCTCTTATCGACGTTAGCCTAATTCTCGCTAACGCGTAATTACGCTCACAAACATGACTTATCAAGAACGTGCACTTGAAAGTTTAATATTAAATGCTAACTTGTGTAGTGGCAAGGTAACGAATGCAGTCACTTCTTTCTTCCGTGTTTCATGAATCTTGATAACCTTACACTTACCCAACCCTATGTTGATGCAAATAAACATCAAAATTGGTATTATTTTAGGTTGGTCTAGATTATGTGTTACTCAATATCAGTTCTGTACCAGTATCCACTGAGTGTTCCACGTATAAAGACGTGCGTAAAAGGCGGCACGGGTCGGTTTTCCTTGTTTTGTGTCCGTATTATAAACCAAGACGGACGAAATCGTAGTGAATGGACGTCCTATTAGTAAGTTACGTTATGTTCGCGGAACATTCGAGAATAACCGTGATGTCATAAAGTCATTTTAGTATTAAACCTGGTTTGAATACGATACGAGGTGATTCCAAAGCGATTTAAGCTATTTTATTTTGCACAAATAGATCACGTTACTTTTTTACCATACAGAAAGCTATCGTAACTTAAAATTTTATATAAGTATATAATTTAAGTTAAAATAATAACCGTATACGTTTGTATAATTTAATTGACCTATTAAAAAATATTTATGTGTGTTTATTTTTGGACAACATATACTTTATCGGGTGGAATGCCTATATTTAAATATTGCCAAACGTTGCTACCGGACAGACGAGTATTGATAATGACGGAGCAGACAAGCGGACATTCGTATGGGCTTTCCCCACATCCTCGCAGCTATCCTCGATACTTGATTGCAAAACACAGCAGCATTCATTGCATCCATGGCCTTATTTAATCGCCATCCGCAAATTGGGCAAGGCCCCCGGCGGTGTGGGTTACGTTGCGTACCACAGTGCACTGTGCCTTCTTGTAGATATCGCCGTGAGCTATAAAGTTATATACTATGTTGAAATTTTAAAGCTATCCACTTCGAAGACTAGTGCAGCTTTTACTTGATGCTTAATATTGCACCTAACTGGGACGAGTTATAGGAGGAATGAACGCCCAAAAAGTTATTATCTACTACAAATTAAAGTGTGTAAAAAAATGGAATCAAGACTTTTTCTTTGGAGGGACAAAAATCCATTTGTCCCTCGCCCAAGGTGTAGCAAGAGGGATTGTTAGACTCTTCCTGACTAAAAACCTCCCCATTATTTCTTCTGCTCCAACCCGGGGCTGCTTTACATTATTGCGCTTTTGACTATTGGCTCTACAAGAGAACTTTACTCTCTTCTTCCTTTTATATAAATTTTATTGTTGTTTAATATGTACCTATACTATATTATGTACCAGTTGTTTTAATTGTAATATGTAACTTGTGTAGGTTAGTTCTCAAGTGTAAGCAAATAGATAATAAATAGATGTTGGAAACGATGGGTACTTAAGAGAAGTATATTGACGATGAAGTTAATTTTTACTTGTTGGAATTGGAATCCAACCTGAATTTACCCGTTCTACAGTCGCGCTAATGACCACTTAATAAACGAGGTTTAATAAAAAGTAACTAAATTATAATTCTCACAGACGTAATCGTCGACATTCGACATACAAACAACGCACACTGACCCGGAACATCTAACCTGCAGTTCAAACTGATCCACACCAGCCCATGACCCAACCGTTGCGTCAATCAGCAAGTCATCCTACTAATATTATAAACTCATAATTTGTGTGTATGGATGATAGTTTGTTTTTTTTTATGGGAAAGGACGGTAAACATCAGGTGGATTGCGTGATGGTAAGCAATCAGCGCCGACCATGGACTTGCCTCACTTTTGGGGATAAGGGTTTTAGATATTTAAGGAATGGGAATGCATATGGTGGGGGGAGGAATTAGCCCTACGGTAACCTTACTCACACGCCGGTTTTCTGTAAGGCGGTAGTACACTCCGGTCGAGCCGTCTCATTCGTGCCGAAGCTTGGCTCTCCCACACTTGAACTTGTCGAAGGTCCTAAGATACTTGTGAAAGGGTTCACGTAAAACTACACTGATTCTAATGAAATTTGGCATAGATATTGATAATAGCCTGATATAAAACATGGGCTTTTTTATCCTGGTGACGCGGGTGAAGCCGCTGGCTGGAGTAATTCGAAAAATTATTGTCGACATTTAAGTACATAACTCGCATATTATCTTCGATCAATAATGTCGCTAAGTCACGATCGTACTTGTAGTTGAGTAATATATAGTATCACAATAGGTGCACAGGTTACTGTGTCAGTGTATAGATAGGTAGGTACTATAGCTATTGTAACCTAACTGTGAAGCAATCTTTAACTCATCCTTATTGTTCCTTATAAGTACTTATAACCTTATTTAAAAATGTAAATGTAAGTTCAAAGTGGCAAGTAGGAGTGTGATTGTTTCTGAATTATATGTCCCTCCTAAGATTATTTAGACACCACTACTGATATACGGTTAAAAAAAGATTGCGAGCAAAGCTGTACTTAATAATAATTTTAAATCGCTATCCGTCTTGAGCAACTGTTTTTTTAAGGATAATCATCAAATGACTTCTCCCGACCAGCGTGGGACTGGAGGGAGTGTCAGACTCTTATTGACTAAAACCTCCCCGTTCCTTCTCCTGCTGTAGGCCGAGGCCGCGGTGCCTTATTGCGCTGGCCCCGCAACCCCGGCTGAACATCAGCCCTATACCGATACATCAGACCTATACCTATACCTTCTGTGGTAGTCAATTGGCTTGAGCAAGCGTAGCGTGATCCTTAATGCTCAAATGTTTTACATCTTTTGCTCGGCAGTGACTACTTATAGACCGTTTTTTATGTAATATTTCGTATACAAATAGTTTAGTAATTTCAAATAAATTATACCTACAAGCTTTTTGGAATAAAAGTAAATAACGCATTTTTATGTGTTCTTTGAATGTTATAAATAAAAACTAAAATGAATTTAGGTGAAGATTCAGTAAACCTTTAATCGGTACGCATCCAACATAAAGATTTTATTATTCAATAACAAAATGGTGGCGATGGCGATGTACCGCGGCCCAGGCTTAGATGATGACAAAAAGCGGGATTTTTTTTTCCTCTCGCCTTAAAGGCGGGAAAAGTTACTTAATGACCCCCCTCAGAAATAGGGATATTAACAATTATACTTTGATTGACCCAAGTGGTCGCATTTATAGTAAAGTTCATTAATAAATTATGCAATAATTTGTTGTTGCCGGAATTCTCCGAAGTTATTTTGGTTTATGTAACCAAATCACTTTTTATTGAGAACAGTAATATTTGAACGAAGCGTGGTTTTTAAAAGATATCTTTACATAAATGTATGTTTTTATTATCTTAATTTAGCCTTTTACTTATATGCAGACGCGTCGTACGAGTTTCATTTGTTTTAATGTGAATGTCATCGTGTTCAAAAATAGAACACGTTTAAAATAATAAAACAACACTTTTTTTACAAAAAAATACAACTTTAAAAATAAATAAATTAATAATGTAAATACCCAATAATTATTCCGGCATCTTGCCGAATTCGCAGGCTTCTTATGCAAAAGGGGGGAAGTCAGGTGCGAGCGAGGGTCAACATCATGCAAGCACTTTCGCTTGATCAGTACCCGTACGGAGTACGCACGTGGAACACGCATTTATGGTACAACTTAAAAAAAAATATTTAAAACCACCAACAGTGCTACCTACTCACTAAATTCAAGATCCTATCCTTAATAAATTGTGATAAATATTCTGTGATTTTAAATTATATTTTTCATACAAAAAAGTAGTGTATATTTTGTAAACAAAACTTTTGTTTACGTAGTTTTTGTGAGAATTATTCAATGTAAAAATGGTTACAAGTGCACAGTGGCTAATTTTAGTTGGAATAACCGCGTTACAAATATCAGGTGAGTTTTGAAAATCATAAAAAATAATAATATATTAATAAAATAAATTATGTTACAATTACCTAAAGTAACAACATAATTAAAGCTATAAATGAAATAATACTGAGACGCTACAACAACAACAAAATATGATTACTTACTTCAGTACTCATCTAAATAAAGCATAATGTTTATATGCCTTAACAGTTATTTTGGTCAGGGCTATTGTTATAATACTAAAGACTAACCATTATATCCTAATGCAGTATTCAGTAATAAGCACCAATAAAACCTAATGTCCGAACAATCAAATTAACAAAAGATTTAAATTTTTAATACTCATATAAAAGGGCTATTAGACACAAAATAAAACATTTAAGTCCCGAAGAACCTTTGTTTTGACTAGCTGTTTAAATTAATCTGCTGAATAAATAACGGATAACAAGATAAGTCTGTGTTCCCCGAAGGGTGTATAACCTGGGTGTCTTCAAGGCCCGAGTGAATAGGTTGCTAATGGGTTGGCATGCTCTATCGTAGGTCGCATTATTGTTTACCACCAGGCTTATTAGCGGTCAAATGTCTACCCATTACGAAATAGAAAAAAAACAAAATTTCTAATATAAACCAAAAATATTTTAAAAAACTGTATACAAGACATTTCAAGTAGATTTCATAACATGAGATTCTATGAAGATTCGCGAAGAACTGCAACACATAATACGAAGGCAATGCACCGCGACGTAACCTACAACTGATAATATACTCATTGCGTAACACCGTTAAGTTTGTTTTGCTGTAACCGGCTGAACAGCTTCCTTGTCCGCGTGCAGATGATGTAGTGCGGCTCACAAAATGATGCGACTGTTAAAGTCGTTTACATTTTTATTTCTTGCTACTGAACTTACAAATATTCATTTTACTTGTCTATACTTTTATACTAATATTATAAAGAGGTAAAATTAGTAATTAGTAAATTTGCATATAGGGGGTATTATTTGGGACCGCTGGTCGAAACATTTATAAAAAAAAACAACGCAATAGTAGCTAGTGAATAATATTTATTACGGATTCAATATAAAAACTCAAGTTTTATAAGTTTAAAGCAAATATAAATACTATCTGCGTCTTCAATCTGATTCTATTCATACATATAATTGCGACGGTTGAAAAATCAACAAAAAGTCTAGAATTCGTGAACCGTGCAGCATGAATCGGAGGTGTGTGCTCGTACAATGGCTACTTCCGAAATATTACTCGGCCGACATTCGTCGTTGCATAAGATCGCTCACCCACTCTCGCGCTTACTCAATCCGGTTTGTTTGTCACATTATCTTGATAAACGGTGTCACATCCATTTCTTTTTTTATATTGTATTTTGAAAAAAGGACATGAATTGTTTATGAGTAAGTTTCTGTATTTTTTATTAGGGTCTCATTGTTATCTCAGAAAATGGGTCACGTTATAATAAATTGTAAGATATTATATATCTTAACTTTGTGCCATATACTTAGTTTTCGTAGTACGTAGGTAAATTTTATGAACTTATCGACAAAGAGGATGCTTTGATGAAATTTGTAATAGACAGCATTATATTGCAATTTAGGTTTAATAGATTTTTTATTAATTGCTAATTAATTCAAACCTGTTCTATATAACTTGCTTCATTAGGTACAGCTTCAGTATTAACCATTTTCCGGATTTAATTTAATTAAGTGCCAATAAAATTATATTTATTAAAGGATGGGGATACAATGCTATGTAATTCTAGAGACGGGGGCTACAGAACATGTAATTCTAGAGACTTAAAATTTTTCACTCGCTAATATGTACATTTAATGTTATTGACATATGACCGACACCCTTTGGTAGTTAGTTCATTTAAAACACGACATTTTATGAGCACATGGGTCACAGATGTCTCTGGGTCAAGGTCGTACATTGTAAATGATATATGATTACAGCCGTGGAAATTAGGTAAGTATATGAAGGCTGTTCATTTTGGACAGGCGACTTTTGAAGATAACGCAATCCCTGCTAGGCTGTAAAAATATTACAGTGTTACCAAGTGGTAATTTAAAAAGTTGTTAGTTAAAAAAAGTTTGTCAAGTGTTTCAACTAAAATCAAATATATATCTCTCTGTATCTCTCTCTAAAATGAATCACAAAATGTGTTGGTAAGCGCATAACTCCATAACACCTGGGCCAATTTTGCCAATTCTTGTTTTGTTATGTCCGTTTTTTTAGGAGAAGGTTCATACGAAAGAATGTTTTAGAAAAATAAAGGGGAATATCGGGAATTAACAATCCTTTCGGTGCTGTGGCCGCTCGCTATCAAAACAAATGACTATCGCGTTGACTATCGAGTTGTCGGATACCCGTGCTAAGCAGGGGGCGATCCGCTAGTCTTCTATTTATACAGGGTTACAGGAACAATCGTGCTAGATCCACGGAAAAGTACGCACCATTTCTGACTTTTTTCAATAAGAAACACCCTACCTTAAACTGAATCCTTTTCGAGATATTAAATCCTTTTTTCTGTAACCCTGTATATCCTTTCATAATTTTATACATCCAATAAAATTATTGATTAATTAGTTTGTAGAAAATTTTATCAAAACATTTTATTTGGTAATCTTCGATTATAAAATTGCTGCAATACCAAAATAAACCTATGGATTGAAAGTAGCTAACTTTGTGAAAAGTGAACAACCTTGAAAGTATCAAGAAGTTATTAATTGATGAACATTTTAATTTAATTTCTTAAGCGATATCTATAAAATTAACATATCAACATTTTTCAAACATTTGGCGACCTCAAAATTGCGTAATTAATTCTATGACCGTGAAATTAGCCATTTCGCAAGATTTGTTTATGATTATGTTATAATTGTTAAATAATTTTAGTATTTATAATACATTAATGACCTTACTGGTCTACTGGAATATTGAATGATACACGGCTAATTTAAACTTTCTCTGGGTTGCCATAGAAACGAGCATTTAAAAATGTATTTATTAATTGTGGAATGTAGATGCCAATTAAGTTGTTATTTAACTTTTATTCAAAACAAAGCCAATTAAGTTAGTCTTATTTTGGTCAGGGATTTTGTTAATATTCTAGACTAAGCATTATATCCTTACGCAGTATTCAGAGATAAGCACCAATAAAAACCTTATGACCGTACAATAAAGTTAACAATAGATTTCATTTTTTAATACTCATATAAAAGAGCTATATCTAGGCACAGAATAAAAGATTTCAGTTATTAACTTTTGTTTAGACCATATTTTTAAATCAGTGAGTGATTTTATAAAGTTGTAAGCATATATGTAACGTTTACAAATTATTACATTAACTACATCAAGATCTCAATCATCGGTGTATTAACATTAGTAGTGATGCTAAATCAAATAATTAAGATAGATTAAGATAATACTTTTTTTCGACAAAAATTCCAAGTCTAGGAATTATTCTTCAATATCAAAAGTATAGTTTGTACCTACATATCATAACACGTGTTCACCAACGACATCGAACTAATGTCCACCTCAACCTACCAGTAGAAGGTTCAACTTAAACGCAATCAGAATAATAATTCAGACCTTTCAAAACTTGTTAATTCATGCAAACCTCCGCCGGAATATTAAAGCGGTCCGAAATACCATCGAATCTATGGACATGCTAAATACAAAATTGCCAAGACATCCAAACTGCTAATTATGATAATAAAGGTCATTTATGATTAGGAAATAAGTGACGATGACCTTAAGATATAATATGGATGGATGGATGTTGTTCTGCAACATCCGATGTGCTGCGACAAAATAAATGTCTATGATGGATGTTGCGAAAGAAATCGTGGATGTTATGCCCAGACTTATTACATTAGCCGCAGGTCGACCATGCGTGCATTCCATTTACGCAATTTATTCATCAGCACCTACACTTACAAGAAGTACATTCCTATTAGTATACTGATGTTTTGTACTCGGTAAAATTCTCGAACAACCTGTTCAGCGTTGGGATTGCGATAATGTTATAATTACCTGTTTTAAATAAATTATAGATACCAAAAGATATACGCGCCCTTCAATGTACGGTAATGACTGCACCTTCGGTGCGGTGGCTGGGCAACTGGCTGCCGTGCAACGTGTCGCGGGTTCGATTCCCGCACGGAACAACACTTTGTGTGATCCATTGTACTTACGTTTGTAAACGCACCCACAATACAGTAGAAAATACTAAAGGGGGGCAACGTTTCTTTTTAAAAAAAATGTCTCTTAAACCTCAAGAACTGGACTAGCAAGCAAGCATTACGTTTACAATATTAAAATAGTTTTAAAATTTACTTGCATTAATAGTGTACTTATATAATAAGTTATTTTTTTCAATCAAATGATAATATACTATATTTATAACTGATGGCTTTATTAGAGCTTGCGTTAGACGCGTAAACACAACTCGTACACTTACTGTAATACTTAAAGATTGGAAATTATAATTTAAACTATTCCTCAGTACTGATAAAGTGATAATGTTTAGGAAATAGTAACTAAGCCCGGCGAACCCACTCCGGGTTATGACTAGGTAAACATGAATGACTTGAGTACAGTAGTTAGTTATTTAAACGAATAGATCACATTTGGTCAATGGTTTGAGGTCAATTAAAATAAAAAGGCACTGTAAAAATTTACAGTTCGTGAATGATCTTTTAAAAAACCTTCCGGCTACCGTTCTCACGACATATTACATCTAGAATTTTTATAAAACCATGTGTTCTCCCTGCTCCTATTGTCTCCTCCCCCCACTCATCCGCAATCCGAAGCCCTAACCCAAAAAAGTCTGCAAACGCATTCGTAACTCCTCTTTTGTTGCGTGTGACAATGGGCGGTACCGACTGCTTACCATCAGGTAAACATCGTTTGCCGACATATAAAATAAAAAAACAACAAAATTTTTGGATACGTAGCTACATACCTAATTCGTATGTTTAATGAAAATTTGCCAACAGTTAATGAAACCAAGAAACACTGTATTATAACATTGTTGTCACTGCACTTTATAAGACGCTGCTACACACATATCCAGTATAAGCTGCTCTCTAGTACTACACTAATTGAAGGGAGTTACAGGTGGAGGTTAATTGGTTATACATGAGTCACAGTGCGATAGGTTACAAGCGTGGCGACGCTTTCACTGTTCAATCGATTCACTTGTACTTTCCACGAAGCCATCGAGGCATTGATGTGAACTCGTAATCTAGTTCATTATGATTACGCAATCTGAGTTGCACTTACTTTTCGAGAATCGTCGCATTTCTGACTGTCTCTCCCTACAGACAAGTCGCGTTAAAAGTTAATGCTATTTTATTCTTACTCATAAAACTAAATTTCCGACAATAACCTTTCGTCATCGATAATAATAGATATTATAAAAAGGTTAAATTTCTAAACTTTCCGGGAAAGGTTATTTTTGGAAACGCTGTTCGGATTTCCTAAATTCTTTCACTGATAGGCGGCTACAATGTTCATGTAGACTATAAAACATCACCTTACGACCAATAGGAGCCACAGGTGAAGCGGCGCACCGTTTCACCAGTAGCTTTATAATTACCTACTTATAAAAATAAATTAACATTCCTAGCAATAACCTTAAGTTTTTATTTTAATAGAGGCATTTTACTGTTTATGGTTTCTTTAATGAAGCCCTTAGGTAATTGATTAAGTGTAGTACTTACTTCCCGACTTTCGTATACATAATTATATACTGAATTTAAACAACAGTAGCAGTTAAAGCGACACCGCGACTAAAATACCCAAATCAAGTATAATTCATAGCACTCAGTAACATGGTAGCTATCAAGCATATCAGTGAAATAACGTTGGAAATCCGACCAAACGGTTCCAAATTTTATCTCTTTATAAAAATAGTACAGATTTACCTAGTTTAATTAACAACGTTACTTTTGTCTATTAAATTAGATACAAACAATTACGAAAGATATCGACATTAATGTGAAGGTTACTTAAAATATTATAGAATCACTACTCTTAAAGGAATAACTGTTTTTACATATTTATGAAAATGCTCGCAATTTTCGAGCAAGGCCGTCAGTGTGAGTCCGTGACACTTTCCATCATAAATAAATATATATATTTATTTAGCTGCTACATGATAGTTATCCATAGACCACCTATTTTACTTCGCAATACCTTCAAAGGTAATTTGAGTTGCATTCCGCAGTTGTCGTTCGACGATAAGAACGTAATTAGCTTGAAGTCGCAACACTTGGCAGGCTAGGTACATACAACATTTTGTAATTGTGCTTCACAATATATTATTGCGTAGATTAGTAAAAACGTTGTGAGCATACCAACCGGAACCACGTTACCTATGCACATGATGCTTCCCTGATGCAACTGCTTTTAACTTACTAATATATAATGCTATTAAATTTAAGTGATCGATATCCAATATTACATTATTAAACAGACATTTCGTTTTTATTTATACGTATTTCTTCCTAATTTACGAGTAGCTATGTAATCATTTAAGGATTATTTAAAGTTTTCTTTGTGTTTTAACAACGACAGTGAAATTAAATTAATGTTTTTTTTACAATATACCTACATATAAAAGTATTAGTGCACCATTGTATGTACTACACACTTTTACTAATATGTGTTTGGTATTTCTCTCTATTCTGGAACATATGTGTTTGTTAATAGAGTGTGTTTTGCTTTGGCGATTTGTCAAGCTACGTTAGTTGTTATTAAATTAGAAAAATAAATGGTTTGTTCCTCTAAGGATTGTGTGTAAAGTGAACAAAGTCATATACCCAAGATACCCGCACGGAACAACTCTTTGTGTGATCCACATATTGTTGTTCCGAGTCTGGGTGTGAAACGTATGTAAAAAATGTTGTAAACGCACCCAGGACATATGAGAAGATCCAAGTGTGGATTACGTTATCTTCTAAATGTAATTGGGAACAAATACATATCCGACGTTACTGCCACTGAGTAGGATATAACTTTACTTATTAACACAGGTCGGCCCTATGTTAGGTAATCTAAACACAAATAAAATAATATTATGAATAATACGTAAGCCTCATCATCATCTGTTATAACCTACCTTGAATACTTAGCCTAATTTCTAACAAAACCTGCCTTAATCAAGTTTGGGAATTAATATACATTTTTATAGGCTCTAAAAACAAGGTCACACGAATGCTAATATATTACATATAAAAGTTTCCACACAGTCGAAATATTGGCAGTCTTGTGTCCGGTTTTTTTATAATAGCTATGATTTATATTCTTGCTATTAATTTTCACAATACTTACTTATTCTAACTGTTTCAAATTAACTCATATTTTCAGACTTTTTAAATCGGTCTTTAAGTTCGAAGAAAACTTAAATACCAAAGTTAGCCATATTGGAAAAGCCGTTCGCGAGTTTTTGCGAGACTAACCATGAGCAATTCTTTTTTATTCACTACTTGACCCTTCTTGACCCTGTAAACTTTCCTCTCCTTTTAAACATTGACAGAACTATTACAAATATTTCAAGATAAAATTGAACCAATTCGGTCCAGCCATTCTTAAGCTTTAGCGAGACTAACGAACAGCTATTTATTTTTGCATATAAGATTTTAATTAAATATTAAAAATACTATTTACTACCACCTAATATCCTACTCCTCCAATCTTTATTTAAAAGAGTTGATTTGCAATTACAAATATGACGCTCCGTACACAAAACTACGGTGCTTTCTCAAAGCACAAAACAGTCACTCAAAATAAAACTAAACACGTATTTCCGACAGCCATCAACGAAAATGTCAACAATTGACGCTTTGTTCTACACGAAAACATGAAATAACTTGAAAGACATTCGCGTATTACATAAATCTTTTGTTCTTGTCTCATGTCTCAATGTAAACGCGAAAATAGGCATGAAATTGACACAATAACATATAAGTACTACAACGCAAGAAAATGTAAGAAACCATTTTGCGAATTAGAATTGTACGCTACAATCAGACCGTGTCAAGTGCTGCGTCTCAGCTAGCAAACGCACTTCGTAACGACCTTCACAAATATGTAATTTTACTTCTCTATTATTAGAAAAAAGTCTTTTCTCTAATACCAATCTTTTTTGTTTAATTGTGAGGAACCGACGTATTGGAAAGCAAATAAATACTAGCTGAACATATGCGAGTGTTTACTATGATGACTAGATGACTACAATTCATGATGAATGATTTTAAAATCTCAAAACGATTGAAAAAATGAGTCTTTTAAAACGAAATAACTCAAATTCATCTTAGAGATTTCATCTCATCGCCTTAAAGAACAAATGCACTTGTCTGATACTATGGAAGTCTCTTTATAGAATTTTAGGAGTTGATACCTTATTTAGCACATGATGTATTATTACAAACGTGAATTTTTTTACTAACTGCAAAAACTGCATTTTTTGTTCCAGTATCTAAAAGTCAAGAAGAGCGACCCCAAGAGAAGAAACCGCAGTCGGTGAGAGATCTCCTGAACACAACATCATGCATTCAACCGCCGTATCGGTGCCCACATCCCAAGATGCAGTTTTATTTATACACAAGGTAATTAATAAGTAAATTGCGCCAGTTTTCATCAATCAGTGGTCATAAAATTGATTTCTATAGGCATAGATAGATTTCCATGCCTGTCTCGTGGATGCGTTAATAAATATAGGTATACAATGTCACATATACAACACACCCAGACCCGAGACAACAATATGTAGATCACACAATGAGTTGTTCCGTGTGATCCACGGAACACCTATAATTAAAAACCAAATTCAAAGTCAAAAATTCAAAGTCAAAGTCATTTATTTAATTTAGACCCATATAGGCACTTTTGAACGTCAAACATAATTTTAAAGTTATAAAGTGTTAGTCTGTCGGTCAGTCCTCTTAGTGAAGCTATTGGTTGGTAAAATTGGTTTTTTTATAGTTTCAATGTGTAAAGTTTTGTATTGGGCGTTCGATTTTAAGAAAGGCAATATATTCGTGTAGGTATAGTAGAATGTTAATGTTTCGCCTGTAAATATGATTTTAGGGATTAGAGAGTTTAGTTCCCTAATTTCGGAAAAGGAGGATCCACCGACCAGTCGAGGTGATCGTACCTGGTGGAATACTGGCCGACGGTCGTTGTCGGGATTTTTGTATCGGTTCTAATTGCGTTGAGAACCCTTATACCGCTATGTAGAATCTTGATTGGTGCTGTTGTTGAATGTTGTGCAGATGTGGCTACATGGTAGTAATACATTAATTAAGGGAACAGGAGTATTCTATGACATCTAAGCTTTTGTATCTAATAGAATTTGTATTACTTTAACCAAATATGACCAAAAAGTGGCAAATCAAAAAGTCTTATTGCTTAACAAATTTTATCATACAGAAATTTGATAAAAACATGTTTTCCCATTACTCCGGCTCTATAATGAATAAATGTTGAATATTTCCAGAACAACGCAAGAAAAAGGCGAGTTAATAAATACTCTAGACAACGACTCTTTAACGTATTCTAAGTTCAACACGAAACACCAGACAAAGGTCGTCGTGCACGGCTTCGGAGGAGGTCGGAACCTCTCCCCAAGTACCGACATGAGGAAAGCTTACTTCACGAGAGGAAATTACAATATTATCATTGTGGACTACGGATCGCTTGTAAAGGAACCCTGCCTTAGTCAGGTTGGTATTTATATGATTGTCTATTTTTTTATTAAATAGCGTTAAGAACTGATTTTACAATAGTCAGATAAATGTTAACTGAGGAATAAAATTGTTGTTGTCACTGACTTATACAAACATTCTGACGCGACAGTATCATAATTGTGATTTATCATTTATGTTTAAATATAGAACATGGTTTTAATATACCTATGTAGGTACTCGTTTTACTTATAAGCACTTAGTTTATTTTTAGGCACATGAAGTATTGTGTATATGGCTTAAATATTTTGCAAGTGAAGGGGCAGTTCTTAATGCGATTCAGACTTGTCTTTGAATAATTAACGTCTTTTTGTGTTGTTTCGTTACACCCCAGAAATTTAAAAGTAGGTCATGCGGTAATAAGTGCCTATGTACACTGATAAGCATTTACTTTTTTCCATTAAAACAAAAAAAAAAGTGGTTGGAAGTCGGTTACTAAGCCAAAACAGTAGTTGCATAATAATGTATTAAGATGAGCCGCTTACGATTAGTCACTGAATACTTAAGACGGACTCTGTAAAGACGCAATTTATTATTAACGATTAAAAATGAATATTTATGACGAATTATTTTATTTAGCAACATTTACCAATGTTCTTATTTCGAAATATGTTAATGTTTCCAACGCTTATTGGTGTAAATTAGCTAGATGTTTGTAAGCACAATAAAGCGTTTCGAGGAAAAATATTAAATTCTTCGATTTCAAAAAAATGCATAATATCTACGCACACATACACTCGCTTGCGTGATTAAATTTATAAACAACTTAAACTTTGAACTTGCACGAACCGAAAAATAATTAATTTTATTGAGAGGATATCGGTGTAACTTTTGTATATTATAACTTCCAGATTGAGTGGGCTCCTCGGTTTGCGGGTCTGTGTATAGCTCAGTTAATCGAGTACCTGCAGAACCACCCAGTAAAGGCGGTGCCTCCAGAGAAACTCCACACGATAGGCTACAGTGTAGGAGCTCACATACTTGGACTCGTCGCGAACTATTTACATGAAGGAAAACTTGGCAGAATTACTGGTAAGCTTACAAAACATAAAACTTCATTCACCGCTTTATTATTTTGCCCTAGATCCGCACTGATCATGGTCACCTTAATTTACGTCATTCAGATTTGAAAGAACATTGATTTTGTTAAAAACACTTTATTATTTACCATGAACTTAAACATATCAATATTGCATTTTATTTTATATCAATATACTTTAACTTATTTTTTTATTGTGACTTTAATACGGAAGTACGTAAAGTTGCTGCCTTTAAGCACAATTATATAAAATTCTGATCAATAAAATAAGTTATGAAAAAGGGCTTCTTGCCACACGGATAAGTTAAAAAGGAATGTTTGACATTGAATATTACAATTAAGTATTTTTCCACCAACGGATTTTACATTCTCCATCCATGTGTTACTTATGTAAAATACCAGCTTTTTCTCGTTCTTTGGTCCAAAATTAAGAGATTAATTAAATGTGGTAGTGTCGGTATAGTAGGACAATAGTCAAAAATGGTTTCTGAAACACTGGGCAACTAATTATAGATATACTGGTTACCTGATGGTACCCCATGGATATCCGCAACACCAACGGAATTACGAGTGCGTTGACGGCCTTTTGGTGATAAGGGTTTCGCATATTTAAGAAATGGGGGATGAATATGGTTATAGGAATCTGATACGTTAACTTTGTAGCTATTCAAAATCTTAAAAATATATCGAAAACAACGACTTACACACGTAGATTAACTAAGCAAAATCTCTACTAGCTTCAAGTTACAACGGGACTCTTATTCATGAAGATCGGCGAGATGACTTGTCATTTTGTGAGCATTTTTCAGTTTATTTACGTGAATCGTCGTCGTCGTTATTTTAATAAAATTTAGTATGTTTCACGTAGATAAGACATTCATTCAGCTCAAGCAATTAACAGGCACGAATTAATTGACAAATAAGTTAGTACACAATATAAATTAACACGGCGATAACATAAAAAAACACAAAGTAATAAGTAAAAAGTCTTCTAATATTTTTTTATACATTTCCAGGTCTGGATCCGACTATATTCTTCTATATGGGCTCGAATCGGTCTCGGGACCTCGATTACACAGACGCTCACTTTGTGGACATCCTGCACACTGGTGCCGGCATCCTCGGCCAGTGGGGCCCTAATGGACACGCAGACTTCTACGTCAACGGAGGTTCCAGCCAACCTGGCTGCGCCCATGACACAATTTTCCGTAAGTATTTTTTATTACTCTAGCAAAATAATATAATGAAAATATACAAGCTATCTAATGGAATCACCGCAATATAAATTATTAAAAAAATAATACATGTGTCACAAACTGATCGCATGATGCTAAGGTATTATATTTTTTATCCATATTGTACAAATGTATAAGTAAAGGATGATTTTCCATTTTTCGAATAAATTGTCAGACGTATGAAGGTGGATACTCGAGCCTTCTAATTGAATGTAGGCGGTTACATACAATGATTTGATGACTTACTTACTCATACTTGCTTTCTTCCGTGATCATATTCCTCATATATCATATTACTTGATCCCACGCACCTGAGGCAGGTGAAAATAATGAAATCAACAACAGAAAATGTACTTGTAAGACGCCTACTGCATTTATTTGTACCTAACATTATTTTAAGATTTTATTTGGTAAAATGAATGTTATTAAATTTGTGATCCGTTATGTACAATAAACGCCGAAACAAAAACCCTCTTTGGTACATGCATGGAACTATTTACCGCGCAGCCCTTCCTCAAATATGGACACAGGCTGACCCCTCAGTGGAGTTGGCTATTTAGTTCCGTTAACTTTCGGAAGGTGGCGCTTAAAAGTGACGACAGTGCACTCTATAACTTTAGCTGTTAAGTTTAATAGTTCCACCGCTGTACGACAGATGGCGTCTCATGTCTAATGGGTCAAAGTGTTTTTTTTTTTATTAAAAAAAATGTTTTTTTTATTTCAGAAACTCTTTCATGTGATCATACAAAAGTGACGCCGTACTTCATAGAGTCTATTAACAGTCGCGCTGGTTTCTGGGCGGGACCGTGTTCCAGTTTGTTCTCGTATCTCATCGGGTGGTGTGAGCCTAAGGATACAGAATACGTGCTCATGGGTGAACATGTTACTCACAAGTAAGTGCTCAAATTTGGAGTAAATCGGTCGACAATCACGACAGAGACACGTCATTATGTAGGTTCAGTACAGTAGTACCAATCGTATAAATGCACAGATAATTGTCTTATTTTAGTGGATAAAATTAGAAAGTGTAATTTTAGTAGGAAACGTATGAGTTCAGTTCAGTTATCATAGAAGAATAATATATTATTGTGGTTGTACACAAGCACACGGCAAAACATAATGCTGTGTTTTTTAACGGCAATTTTCTGTGCTGCTGTAGTATTACTCCGGTCGAGTCTACCCATTCGTGCCGAAGCTTGACTCTCTTACACTTCTTAAGGAAGTCAAATGACAGCATGACTGATAATGAATAAAATTGTAATAAATTTACATAGAACTTAATTAAATATTATTATTATAGTTGTAAGTGGTAATATATTTAGAACTTAATTAATAATAATTTAATAACCTATTAAATTTCAGTGCTAGAGGAGTTTACTACGTAACAACAAACGCGAAGCCGCCATACGCCAGAGGGTTCCCGGGCAAATCTAGGAGACTTCGATCCATAACGCCTTACAGCTGATGAATTAAATGGAAAATTTTAGGCAAATTAAACCTTACCAAAATATTTAATAAAATTAAGTAGATAAGTTATTTTTGTCGGGGCTCAATAAAGTTAAGGAATCATGGGATGCGATGAATAGAGATGAAAAGGTATACAAAAAGTTATTTAAATGAAAGTTGTCAATATTTCTGTTTTTTACACAAACATAATCGCAAGTCGTAAAATAAAACCGACTAAATGATGTAACAAAGAAATGAATTATGAAACTTATTGAAAAATAATCTTAATCCTGGAGTTTCTTTTGTTTGTTTTCCTGGAGTTTGGAAACAGCAAATAGCTTCACTAGAGGACAGACGGACAGAATGACATACACGAATTTGAATTTTTTTATATATTTCTTTGTTTAACGTTTTAAAGTGTCTTTACTGGTCTTTTTGAAATAAATGATTTGACTTTGATTTTGACACATTTCCCCCACTTACAGGGTTGAGTCGTACTTGCTAAACTGGGCCTTGTATGAAATATTGATTTTCTTTTAACATGCCTACATGACTTCTACAAATTTCGCTCGATTTCTACAAATATCTATAACCAACGCGGTTCCAAAATACAAGAACTATAAAACCGATTGACAATGATCATGCGACATAGACAAAAATTTAAATCATACCACCTCAACAAATTTCTTTATTCGCCACACCCTATAAATAATAAGAATGCTGCTATTAATTAGAACGTAATTAATTATTGTAATGTGCATTAAAATCAAACTTTTTATTTCAAACAAAAAGATTTTAATGCAGTTGCAAACGACATACAATTGTTTGCGGTTATGTAATAAAATTGTTTGATTAACTCAGTGTCATTGAAATGGGGATAATGCGCAAGTCAGTAGTGAATTACCTAATAAGACGAAAGAAAGTTGTCCATGATATTAGTCCTAGAATCAGCATTTTTGTCATTTTATCATTATCAAATGATTTTACAGACGAATCTAATAAAAAGAAATTGATATGTCACAGGCCACACACGCTACTGTTTGTCGGGGTAGCCTGCCTTGTTACAAACCAACGCAGGGCTCATGTCTATGAACCCATAAACCTAAGTAACCTTGTCCATATACATAGTTATGCCGCTGTAAAACCTACTGATCAGCGTTACCCCAATTTTATATTTATGTATAAGATGTCATCGAATATTGTATCCCTGGATATGATTGTGTAGTTGCTCAAAATGAGTGTTAATTTATTTTGATATTTAAGAAATTTGTGATAATACTGTTATATAGAATTAAACATGGATTTCAAAGGGATTTTTCTGTTTTCTTTACCCGCTGCTCGACAATTATTGATCTTACCGTAATTAGCCTAGAGCCTTTCTCCACTAATTGAATATGAAACACTAAAAGATTTGTTCAAATTCGAACCAATAATTCCGGAGATTAGTCCGTTCAAACAATCAAACAATTAATCAAACTCTTCAGTGTTATAATATAAGTATACAAGTATTTGTTAAAATAGGCTTCGAATATGGTTCAAATGGTAATGAAACAACTGCAAATAAATTTAAAACATATATTAGGGAAGATAATGTTACCATTTCAAATCGACAAATGGATGCAATTTTTATAACATCAAGCACATTTATATAAATAGATGCGTTATATACTACTGAGCTATGACAGATACAATAAATCTATGTTATAACAAATAGATATAGGTACGACTGAATGGAATCAGTCGTTCAAATGAGATCAATTTATGAGATCATGGTACATAAGTAATTAAGTTCTAGTAAAATGACGACATGTTTTCATATCATTTCGAACATACATATATTGTTATGATCTAGAAACTGAAGCTGTAATTTCACTTTATGTTATACGATTTTCAACTTTATTTTTAATTCACATAAGCCATTAATCGTAACTATATCTTCTCAAACAAACCCGTAAACAGTACATTCAAGGAACATTACCTAAAACAGGGGAATGATAGACAGAGACATACAGATTATAAATATTTACATTTTAACTCTTACACACTATCAAAAATTGCCAACAATAAAATTTTAATGTGATCATTTTTAAATGTTTTTTTTTTATTTTTTACTGAACGTATAATTTTGGTAACACATAATATCGAAATTAGACCTGTATTAATTTAAACTAATTATGTTTAATTCTATAATTAATATAATTATCAAATCACATTAGAGCATAAGTTAATAAGAATCGTTGTATCATAGGAGTTGTTCAAATACACATACCCTTCCTTAAAAACATTGTAACACTAACATTTCATACTATTTTAATTATGGAACTTTTTTCAATTATAGATAGACAACATTAAATAAAACTAACTAACACAACTCATTTGCATCGCTACCACGCATGAAATAAAGGCATTTTTCGCATACATCCACGTTTATTATTTACATATTGAGCTACCATCTCAAATATTGGAGCTTTTTGTTGTATATTTGATCAAACTCGCATCGTGTCGATAAAGTACTATTGTGGAAATATATGCATTACCCTTGAATGACGTCACTGTTTGCGATATTGTGGAGGATATTAGTACCATGCAAGATATTTGAATATACATCAGTTTTCTCCTAGTATTTGTTCTGAGTAGTCGAGCTAGGAAGATCTATGGGTATGTATTATTTATTTATTGTCAAGTTTATACATATCATATATACATTTTCACTGTAATTAAAGGATCTCACTCTATCCCACTTATCTCTAATTACATATACTTATACTGTGTACTATTAAAAGCGATAAGTACATTGCATAAATACTTTATTTTGTTTAAATTATTTCGTTATTTTCTGCGCTGAGTGGTAATGCGTTTATCTGCGTATTGTACCTTTATTAATTTTTATTTTCAATGTTTATTTAAATATGCGTTTTATCTCCGAACATTATTTAATATTGGAATGCTAGCTCTCGTGCATTGTCTTTTCATATTGCCGGAGCGTCTTGAAAACTGTTACGGTAATTATTATTTTTTTTTCATTTTAATTCTATCCATTATTTACACACTATATCGATAATAGGCCAGATTGAAACTGAACTTTTGCATGCAAGCTTCAACTTACGCATTAATGATAAAAAAGTGAAAATTCTATGCAGTGCCGGATGCCATTAATCTAAAAAATAGATTTCATAGATTTCTGCGTACAATAGCTATGTAGTCTTATACGTAACTAGTCATCGCTGTTTTTATTACTTTTAGCTAATAGCTATCTAACGACGAAGGGCGCTTGCAAACTTACTGAAGTTGATCCCGACCCATGAAAATGCGGTTCGTCATCGTCGTAGAACTGTTTCCCTTATATTTTACGGACTATATCCGTTACCCGTCATCCAATTTGTTTAAACAAATAATATCTGGATTTCTGTTCGAGTTATCATGACATTTTTCGCATCGGAATCCGATTGGATGATATATTTCGTATCACAAAACTCAAATATTTTTTTTTTCTAATCCGGCACTGCATTTTGTAAACACAGTTAACCTAACATTGACCAAAATTACTTATTTAAACAACGCGACACCTAATAGCGAACCTATCGTAACGATATAAGTGCTAATTATTATTGCAACTATATCTAAAGTAATCGTCAATCAAGAAAAATAAATAGCAATTTCTACCAGAATGTAAAAGAAGCCACAGAACGTATTTACAAAATAATAAGCTTCATTACTAGCAGGACTTTGAAAGCAAATCCTTAAAGATGAGCCTAATCAGTAATTGACTTGTGACAGTGCTTCCGTGCAAGTAATATCTTACCTAACTACTTACTAACTATGTTACATACTCTACCGCCGCCATCTTTAAAACTACCTATTTTATTTACATTATTTTTACCTATTTCCCAATCTTTTATCAAGTTTTTGTTAGTCTGGCTAGGCTGGCACGTCATGACAAATTGAAATATTATGTTATAATTTGTATTAATCAGACTAACACAATCTTAATTAAACATTGAGTTATAAGCCTTTAATAAAATAAATATATTTTTTGGAAATAATAAACTTAACTTTTTTCTAGAAAAAAAAGAAAATGCTGTGTGAAAGATTAATATCATTATAAACAATATAGATATTTGTTATATATTTTTATATTGCAATGCAAATAAAATATGTAAAGAAAAATACTTAATAATTATAAAAATGTTTTCAAATATTAAAATGCAAAAATAATAATAATAATGAAAGAATTAATCGTTTGTCGATGAATATGAAGAAAATAGAATAACATAATTACATATTTCATTTTGAAAAATATATGCTATTCCTAAATATATATATTATTAGTTATGTGTATATAGTATTGTCTTATGTACTTATTATTATTTACAGCTAAGGTTCGCTTTATCAAGCTTTATTGTCACCACAGCCTTATAGAGTGAGATCACCCCATTTTTAAATTATTGTCTTACCATAAGCCTTATTATACATTTAAAAATTATAATTATTGTACTTTTTATTCTACTCCAATATAAAACATTATATTAAAATAAAACAAATAAGTATAAAAACGAAATTACTGATAATCATATAATAATTATAGACGATAGGTTAAAATGAAATTATTTGTAAATAACTTAATATTTACAGTATTGTAACGTAATAACTTTTTTTAATATTAATAAAAAAAATATGCATACAATATATAAATAATTCATATTAGTATATATATATATATATATATATATATATATATATATATATATATATATATATATATATATTAATCCTAAATGTCTAATATAATATTGTCGATCACAAACTTTTTATAGTGCGCGCATCAACGAGTGCGTGGGGGATCTTATACCCTTACCGCCATTGCTTTGGACATTGTGAAAATTATCATTAGAAATATATAATCTACAGGTATGTATGTACAACTTGTATTTTTAAACAACATTCTTAGAATATTCTATGCACGATCCCCGGCCACTGTACTTTAAATTAACTTAGAGACATATCTGTGTGTCAAGTACAAAAATAGGTTCTAATGTATTTAAAATATTAAAACCGTGTTGTTAGCTATATTGTGTATGGTAATACTATCAGTATTATGATATGCGATTACACTTTTTGATTTGATAAAGTGTCTGTGTTAAGACACGTAAAAATAAGTAAAAAAAACACGTGAGAGTCGACCTCCTGTTTAACCTTACGCTGAAATTTTACTTCTCATTCGATTATGAACCATTAAAACTGATCATATCGCTAACATAACAGTAGAAGATTTATTTATAAATAGATACAAATCACTACACACTCAAGTAATATCCTTTCAAAGTTAGTCAAAGTATTTTTACATCACAGAATTGACGGCGTAGAGATTATTTAAAACAACGACATTGCTTTATACTATATAATTAAATCTATCATTTTAATGCGTTTAATAATATTTCAAATGAAATAATTTGATACGAAAATATATAACGTTGTTATGATTTTTTGTTCAAATGGTGTGTCTTTTGTTACCTAGATTATCTGAGAAATTTTTTGAGTGTTCTTTTTTTAAAAACCTTTCGTTCAGTTTGCCGATGAAAATGTTATGTTAAATCTACGATGTAATGTTGTCGATTTAAAATGAATAACAAAAATTTGGATGTTATTTTAATATTTAAATTATTTATATTTACTAGAAACAGTGTCCTAATAAAATTTGTCTTCGGATTTTGACGTTTGATAATAATTAAAAGAACTGAAAGTATGAATCAGATCCGAGATGATAATTCTCACCCATGTCCAACGAACTAATTCTTACTCCTACGCAAATGTATGTACAGTAGCTTGAATACTCGTATATGAGTCGTCACTGCCGCTTTTCTCTTCTATATTTACAAGGTTTATTATTTGTAGAATACACATAAATTTCTTACTTGACTTTTAAATTTTATTCGTTTTAATGTACATATATACTTAGTTAAATAATGTAGATTTTTAACTTCCTACAAAATCCGGGTATACTTCTATTTAGCTACATTTTTGGTACACCCTGCAAATGTATTGTTATTGATTTAAAACGAATGTGATGTAGCTTCGAAATTCAAAATTGAATGCTGATTTTGTTTTTCCGTTTGGCATAATATCATTTTAAATTATTGTAAATCAAGCCTGGATATTATACTATATTATTATAATTTATTTGTTATTCCAATTTCAACTTGTGGATTTATTACCGGGATTAAAAGAAAATTGATATTTTAAATAAAGATATTAAAAAAATATCTTTAAAGGGTAAATATATAGATAAATTAAGTATCGCTTTTACCTCATT